TTCCTGTATGGCGGCTGCAACTGGGTGTTCTTCAATAACAAACAAAGCTGCCAGGGGGACTGCCAGCAGAACGCAATTCGCATCGTGGATTCCTCTTCGCTGTATCTATATGGGACCAATACGAAAAGCACCACGAACATGGTGCTCAATGGCAATACACCCATAGCAAAGCAAAATGATAATGCCGGTGGATGGGGAGGAGTCATTGCGGCGTATTTGTACAATTCATGAAGGCGACGGGTATATACATTGGCTGATATGATTATGGGTTATACATATGAAATTGAGCGCTAAAAGTAATAGATAATGTCTACTGAGCAATGCAGACTTGAAATATGTCACATCGTATACGACCAGTGCGAGTCATCAGGAGGACCCGCGGGCTACTACGTAGTTCGAATCGCCAACAGCTCGCCATTCTCGGTTGCAACAGACAATCTTCAGGATCGATCAGCTATTTGATGTCTTCTACATATCTGTTTATAAGTTTGGGATCAATAGTTGAAGTATTGGGGAACCCTCTGCATTATCTGACCCGTACGTGAGTCACTAACGTGGAAGCCATGCAGTTTTATATACTGGTCTTGATGATGTCGGTATGCCTGTACGGCCCAAGACTCTGAAAATAGGCAACCCGAGTGTGACTGACGATGGAATCCGATGATGCGTAAGGCTTATTCTTATCAATGCTGGCACAAAGACTTGTTAACTGCATATATGGTCTTGGTACGTTCTCATAAATAGAACCATTACACACTCGTAGGTTAGGGTTCAGGGTCTCATCTGTCAGCTTCAGGACCGGATAGATATGCACTTGTCCGCCCTTCTCTCAGAGCCCGTCAAATCGTGCTTGTTCGAGGTTCCTCAAGTCTCATTTCTGTACCCTGTACGTTCCATAATTCTGAAATCGATAAATTAGACGATACCTATAATAAGTCTTTTATGGTGTATCGGGCCGCAACCCACTTCGGGCGGATACTCGGCTTCGGTCAACTGGACAGCAACAACAACATCGTCATCAGTATCAGCCAGAAACAACAAAGCAGCAAGGCAATTGAAACCTAATTCATCAAGCGCTATAATGCATCCAACCACAGTCAACTTGCAGTTGTTAGATTTCCAATCAGCTTGAGCCATGTCGGATTCTAATCTGTTGTTCCTGAATCCTGATCGGTTGCCTCTACAGGTGGCTGGGATGAGGAGGCTGGGAAGTCGCTCATTGACTCCAGATTCCAACCACCCAACCCAATATCCACAATACGGACATGACAGCCTCCTCATCCCATGACAATCAATGAATTATCATTTCTCCCTCGCATATCATTCTCTGCCTCTGGTCATCCATGTGAAGGTGAGCTCACCGCATACATTCTTCGGTTGTCTGCAGCGGTACAGCCGCCATGAATGTCCCGGGGTCGGGAAATGTGAGTCTGAGGACAGTCAGCTGTAAGTGAAAAGAAAAAGAAATTTGAGAGGCAAGCTTGATCCGTCATATTCGCACTCTCACTCTTCCTCCTCCCCCTTACTCCTTTATAGATGCCAGGCAAGATAAAAGGCTCTGCAGGGTGCTGACGATTCACGCAGCAAGCAGACCACAGCTGTTCCGTTCTGAATCTAAACAGTCAATTGCTGCGTCGGATGATTACTACTCCCTGTCGGATCGTACGACAACGTCCAGTTCTAGATCTCCAAGCGGGGAGAGTCGTCTCACCGTCCAGCGGTATGCTACGCCGAATTCCCACCCTGTCTCCAACGCATCATCTCCCGCGTTATCTCGAACGCATCTAGGCACCAATATGGCTGGTTCTCGATCACAACATTCCATTCCGGAGCAGTCCCGAAACAGAAATGTTCCTCCCTCCGGCCCCAGTCAAGCTCGGTTCGAGCATGGCAGACTGATCCCCGTCAGCGGCATGTCCGACGAGTCCATTCGACAGGTACCAAACGACAGTTATGCCGGTCGCTCACCGACTCCCGGGACGGACGACTTGCCCTACATTCGATTCGCCATTAATCAGCTCACGCGGGAAGATGAGCAGCCGAGCTTATCGAGGCAGTCCTCGGCCGCGAGTGTCGATTATCCGCCACAGCCTCTCGTATGGGATGCAGCTCTGGGCCAGTTTACCCGTCCCTCAAAGCCTAAAGGAAGTTCATTACGGCCTCCAGAAGAACGACTACACCATCACAGTCCGCCAGAAAGGTCGCCACAGAACTCGGTGGACCCGGAGGCATTCGTTGCGGTTGACCCTCCGGACAATAACCTACTGTATCCCCCATTGAATTTTGTGCCTATTGCTCTACGACCATGGGCACTGGCTCTGACCATTCTTTCTTGCCTGCTCATGATTGCCGGGGTTGTCTTCTGCAATGTCTGGTCTCAGCGACACCAAGGAATCTGGGACTATGATGGACAGGGAGGCTCACGGTATTTCGTGGTTCAATTTTTACCACAGATTCTGGCCGCTATCATCACCATCTGGACATTTGTAATCCAGGCGGCTGTATACCGCGTCATGCCGTTTGCAATCATGGCATCGGAGACGCTCCAGGATCGAGTGATACAGAAGCTGCCAATTCTGTCACGAAACTTCCTGCTACCTGACTGGTCGTATTTCAGGCATGGAGAGCCCTTAGCCGGGTTTGCTCTGCTTACGATTTGGATCTCGAACCTCATTACCATCCCGCTTCTCAGCTGTTTCTTCCAAGCAAAGTGGCACCTGATCCATGGCGAAGGGCAGTGGCGATGGAATGCTGTCCTAGCTGTCGGGTGGACAATCGTGGCCGTTTACGCGCTACTTGCTCTTGGACTGACGACGCTCCTCATTCGCTTTATGCGGACACGGTCTGGACTGATGTGGGATCCTGTCAGTCTGGCTGACCTGATTCCTGTCATCCAGCGATCCAACATTCTGCATGACTTTGAACATTCCGAGACACTGCCGGATGTCGGAATTGCACTTGAGCCCAGAGTTCTCCGCCTAGGCTATTGGCAGGTATCGAACCGTGCTGGGGTCTTCTATGGAGTTGCCGAGGTCGATGCCCCGATACGGAATCCGTCTCTGCATCGACCAGAGATGAGCCGTGAGAAGCAACCACTGGTCTCCAGGGTCTCCTTCGATATCGAGCGACGCAGCACTCATGCGGCCGAAGGCTTTGAACAGCAACTATACTCCCAATCTGTCCGTTATCGCTGGGCGCCATGGTTTCTCAAAGACACCTTCGTGGTCGCTTGGTCGGTGATTATCGGCGCGCTTTTTATTGCGTTCGTGCTCGTCAGCTTTGTCCACGATGCCATTAAAGGCGGATTTCCTCCACGGCTACCAACATTGCCCTCGACGGGCGCTTTCTCATCCTCAAACTTCTTGTACAGCTTTATCCCTGCTTTGATCGGTAACATTCTGTTCCTCTCCTGGCAGCCGATCGATGTCTATTTCCGTGCACTGCAGCCATATGCCACTTTGTCCTCTCCAGATGGCGCTCGAGCGGAACAAACTCTATTGCTAGAATATCCCGCGTCCTTTCCACTTCAGGTGACAGTGCAAGCTATTCTGAGTGCGCACTACAAAGTGGCATGGATCTCTTTGATGAGTATCGTGTCCGCAGCTCTCCCCATACTGGCTGGAGGCGTCTTCATTGCCCTCTGGTATCCCTCGCACGAAGAAGTACGGATTGCTGCACTGATGCCTGCTTTCTATACATTGGTTGCCTTCTGCGCTCTATACACCGTATCCTTCTTGTGTATATGGCCCCGCAGATACAGATATCTTCCTCACGACATCAGCACACTAGCAGACCAAATCAGCTTCTTTTACCAAAGCCCGCTGCTTGCCGATAAGCTTCTCCGCGAACCTAGAAGCAAGACGGATCTTGTCACTCGACTAGTGACAGCTCCCCCGGGAGAGAGGGAATATCCAATGTACGGCTTCGGCATTTATGTCGGGCGTGATGGGAAAGAGCATCTTGGAATAGACCGTTTCCAACGACCTGGACGGTCTGACATGCTAATTACAACTGGAAAGATGGAAAGTTGATTGTCTTATTCCTTTTTTTCGCACGGCAGATTCGATGCTGTTACTTATGCAGCGATACGTTCCATGAAACATGACCGTGCTACGAAGCATTTCAGAAATCCGCTTACGATTGAACGACGACAATACCACGATGTTGCACGCAAAAATTTAATTACGATGATATTGAAACGATTGACTTATGATGACGACGATGATGTATGCTTAAATGCGACGACACATTTCTTATTTTTCGTGATATTAGCGCCTCATTGTTTTCTGCATTTCTCAATACCATTTTGTTTCGGTGATACTCTGCTATGTTTCACTTATGTTCTGGAAATGCGCTCTGATTTTTCTCTGTTTTCAAAACATCAACTACCTTACCTGCGATGGCATTGTACGGGCGCCTATTTGCTTTCCCAGCTGTACAGCTATAGAACACAAACACAATATGATAAACTTGAAGTGACATTCTGTCTAAATCTCTATCTTCTCTTGATAAAATCAGATACCATCCGTCGAAATGAGTCCTCAGTCTCACCGGATCGTGTGCCCGTGAATAGTCTCTGCTAGGGCTGAGTTTACATGGTGACCAACTGGCATGGATTTCAGCAGGTTGCTGATATACCCTTTTGATGGTGCTTTGGGATAGCCTTGCTTCGCCATCAAACCGAGGAGCTTTCTACTGCGCATAGTGTATTATTAGACTACAAACAACGGTAACCTAAATTCTTTTATGGGACTTGGAATGACTGCATGAATCAGCGACAGGCATAGCAAACAAGCACGTGACCTCAGCAAATATCAACTCCGCATGGTATGAGACCCTTTCAATCAGAATCCGTTTGACACGACCGTCCTCCAAGCCTTCTCCTTCTTCTTGCGCTAACCTATCTCATTGTGCATACACCGGCATAAAATTATCAACTTCAACTTCACCTACCCGAGTCAACCACCCACCACACCACCAAAACACCTCAGCTCAACACCATGCTCTCCTTCTTCAACTGGGGCCCCAGCCCAAGCCCAACCACAGACTCAAAGAAGGCATCTCCAGCACCCTCCCAACAAGAGTCCATCCCGGGATCAACCGAGCCCCAACCGCAACCACAACCACAACAAACGCAGTTGCAACCACAAAGACCCCTCACAAACCTCAAACTCCTCTTCGGCGGTGTGACCTTCTTCACCCTCTCGCTGCTCATCACTCGCCGTGCCTTCACCAGGCGCGTCCTTGCCTCCACGCCACCCTACTGGACGTCGTCGGTGTACCACCGCCCTCCCGTCAACGGCGCAGGAGACGCCTTCGAGGCGCTGAGCCTCGCGACGCTGAATGTGTGTTCGTTTGCGATGATGGCTACGGGGGGTGTGCTTTATGCGCTTGATATCAATAGCGTGGAGGATATGCGGCGGTATGTGAAGAAGGAGATGGGGACGGGGACGGTGCGGGATGAGGAGGTGGAGAGGGAGGTGGAGGAGTGGGTTGCTAAGGTGTTGGGGGAGAAGTTCGGGGTGGAGCTGAAGAAGGAGAAGGAGAAGGAAGCAGGAAATGTTGCAGGGAAAGGGGAGTAGAGGAAAGGAGAGGGTTAGAAGAAAATGTACAGTGAAACATGATCCTCAGCTCTTGTATACTAGTCATATCACGAATCATGAACTGCATCAGATTGTACAGCTTATATTACACGGGTCTGGTCATACTATTTGTCCATCCGTTCGTATCGCTCCCGCGCTGTCTGCCTCGTCTTCTCCAGGAACTCATCGTACCGGTTTCGTGTGTTGCGTCCCGCTTCCTCGACCGCATCACCCAGCTTGCTTCCTTGCGCACCCAGTCCGACACCCTGCGCATACACCTCCGTGGCTATCGGGGCGGTCATGCCCGTACCCTGAGCACCCAGTCCAGAGCCGGCCGACCAACCCATCTTACTAAGGAGCGACGCCCCCTTCGATGTTGTCTCCACTGGTGGCTCATCTTCCTCTTTTGGCGCAGCAGGCTTGGCCTTGGTCGACGTTCGCGAGCTGCCAAACGCCTTTCGACGTTCCCTTGCACGGTCCCTGTACTCGGCGGTAGACTGAACAATGCCATGTTTGATGAGCTTGCCCATTGCTTTGTTTTTCAATTCGTCGTTCTGCAAATTATCACGGTGCAGCTGACTGAGCCGTTCGTGTCTGTTGACTTCAGCTGAGCTCTTGAATTGCCGCATGCACAGGTAGCAGCAATTCCGATTCAAATCAGCATAGGATTGTGTGGGAGGAGCCGCAGTGTCGGCCGGCGATCCACGCCTTTCCACGCCACCGTCGCTTCCCTTCTCGTCTGCGTCCTTTTTCTGAATGCCATGCAGCTCAGCATGGCGATTACTCCAGAACTGCAGATGAGATGGAACTGCCACTTTCTTGGACGCTGCGCTTGCGGCGGCGTCTGCCTTTCGCTTCTTTGCCTTCTCTGCATCTTTCGTGCTCTTGCTTTCCGCTTGGCTCTGTGCGGTCGAAACTTGGTTGTTGTCCAGCTCAGCAGTTGACACCGTCAATTCTTTCACGTATGCCTCCTCATCCCAGTACATAAGCTTCAAGGATGGGTTACTGAGGGGACTGAAGGTGAACCGGTCCGTGCTCGCCGAAGGATTGATAACAGGTACAAACACGCCAGCGTGTATGTAGCTTACAAGAACAGGCTTCGAGGAGATGGTAAATTTTTCAAATGAATGAAGTCGCGCAACAGCCGCTTGGGCATCCTGCAAGAACAGTAAGCTTAAGCGAGACATGACGATCATAACAAACGTACCTGAACAGTGGCGAATTCCGCAAATCCATAGCGCCAGCTCTCATTGGTTTTGCGGTCTCTGACCAGTAGGACACGGCGAATAGAGCCATCTCTTGCCCCAAGGTTGGAATCACCGGTGGTGGAAGCCACCTTGGCCCCTTTCCTTTGGTTCTCTGAAGATCCACTCGAGCCGGGAGTAGGTCGATAGAGCTTAGCCACGCCCTTCGCAAGAAGCTCTTCGGTGACAGAAGCTTCTAGCCCTCGGAAGAGAAGAAACTGCGAGGGCTGATTGTCTGGAGCTGCATCGTTGTCGCCGTTGTTCTCAACCTTCGGAGCAGCAATTCCAGGTGGACCAGCCGGTCCAGCCTCTGCACCCTGTCAGAAATCGCCCTATATCAGACCGACGGAACGACTTACCAGGCCGGGGCGCTTGGCATCGGAAGCATTTATTGCGAGTCGAGTAGTTAACAATAGCGCACTGTAATAGTCAGGTCAGCTTGCCAGATATGCCATGCTCCACCAACTCACCATTTTGCAGGTCCAGTCACCCTCGGCCCTCGCACGAGTGCGATCTTCCCTCTCACGACTATAGGCGATGCGGACTTTGGTGCCCTTGTCATTATTGCCTGCATTAGGTCCATGCAGATAGATCGATGGGAAATTGCGGTCCATGAAGTCGCGTGCAAAGTCAAGGTTCCTAAACCTGAGGAAGCCGAGTTGCCGTGATTTTTCTGTACAAGTCAGACATTCGTGCGCAAATGGCGACAGAAGAACAACGTACTGGTTTGCCGGTCACGGATAACCCGAACTTCTTCTAGACCTTCGACATAGTAAAAGTCTCTGAGCTCATTCGAAATCTGTTCAACACGTCGACCGGAGCAGACCCGGTGACATGCACATCTCAGCCTCTTGCCATCAAGGACGTGTTTGTGACATGGAGCGTAGTTCTAAAACTCCAGAAATGGAACTTCAAGGGGGGAAGGAGTTTTCCAACGTCTTCTTCCGCCATATCCACCGGCAACCCATCCATCATGACTTCTCTGCTTTCCTTCTCGTGGTAAGGCTGTCGACTCCGACGAGGGCTGCGGCTGCGACTGTAGCTTCTACTCCGACTGTATCCGGGTGAACGATAGCCCTCACGATCCCGATCTCTGTAGGCTGGTCTGCCACGTCGCGGTGGCGGTGATCTAGAGGGTCGCCGACGATAGTCATCGCGGTCGCGGCTTCGATAGCGAGGTCGGGAACCGAGTCGGTCTCTGGATGGTTCGCGTCGCCGATCTGCAGCCGGGCCTCGCGGAGGAGAGCGCTGGCCTTCTTCACTCAGAGAACACTGTCAGTACATCTCTATTTGCAGAGGGATATATGGCCTCTATAAGCATCCGGCTTGACATCATGTGGGGAGAGCGTTTACCGCCAGGCGATCGCGACCGGGAAGGCGAACGATCATCGTACATACGACCGTCCCGATCGTCACGGCGCGGGTAAGGACGATGAGAGGATCCCGGAGAAAATCTGCTGTCTTTCGGATTGAAATGTGACATGGTAACACCGCAACAGAACTGTGATGGAGACTTGGAGAAGGAATGCCGACTGATGGAGATCCATACAGATATCGGCAGAATCCTAGACCGCCTTCTGATCTTAACTGTCGCTTATACTTCCCAATCGGGAGAGGACGAGAACTATACGTTTCCTTCGCCGGAGATAGAGCACGCATCATCGCTTGAAATTTGATACAGCTACAAGCTTCATGCGAATAAAGGACAACCGACTTTATCTACTGATACGTCCATAAAGTAAGTGGAGTCATGAGACCAAATGGTCCTGTCGCGTCCCATAATCCCATTTGCCTTTAATAAATACTGCAATGTTGACATTTTCCAGCAAACTAGCTTACCGCAACCATGCCAGTCTCTTCTGGCCTAGATGCGGTATTGACTTACTCCTGCAGGTAAATCTCTTCCGTAAAATCGAACCCACCTCTAACAATAACGAGATCATCATTTCGTGCAAAGAGGATATCCTGCCGAAGCACGGCGCTAATTACTTCCCGCGACCCCGCGATCCAGTCGTATGGGATGAAGAAATGTCTGATGTACGATGTTATATCAGATGTTGGGTTTTCCAGTCCCACAGAACACACCCAGGAGCCAGTGTCGAGGAAAACCAGTCTGCTAGATTCGCAGATTCCAATAACTTGTGCGACCCTCTGTGACAGAAGAGCGAGCCTTGGCTCCACTGGTGAAACCAGAGAGTCCCCTTCTTGAACGCCTTGACCTTCGACTATTGATAATGACGCTAGATCGTCGTCCAACCCTGGTGATACTGTGACGACATGCTTGATGCTGGCTTTATTGTCGACTTCGAAGGATTGTGCGTTCAGAAGATATAGGTTTTGAGTCTTCGCTAGGCCGCCTGGCTCGGAGAGCTCAACGAGAACACCCTTCGCACTATGTAACACAAGTTGTTTGATGCTCTTAAACTCCAGCGCTCGCACACTGATGTCAAGTGACACAGATACAACTTGGGACAACTTATCCCAAGTATACACACGGGCAGCCGTACTTTCAAAGCAAATTGCGTGGTATGCTGAACCTGGATGCTGAACCCATTTTCGCACAGATGCCCAATCGGTGTATCTTCGTGAATTCTCCTCGTGGCCATCAACTTGCCAAAGATGATCTGATCCACGTGTTGATATAATGAACTTGGCAGTTGCTTCCGACGTGAGAACTTGAATGATCGAACCGCCGTACACTAGTCGGGCCTGAAATGCCATTCTCTCGGCGACCCATTCACCTTGTGCCGATTTCCTCACCTTCCAGGCGAGTATCTTATTTGATACATCAACGCTTATAGCTAAGTCACGTTGAGTCCACCATTCCAAGATGCGAACTGATGAGTTGTGACGGCAGATTTCAAGTTTCCTAGACCCAGATTTTGCGTCATACAACGAGACAGATCCATCATCCCGGCCGCATAGGACAACATCTCTGTCATAATGCACTGCTATAGCGCTGATCTTGACCTTGCTGTCTGTGGCTCCCGCTCCTATAAACGATTGTGATGAGTTTTCGCTCGTATCATCACTGGCTGAGCTTCGAAGCAGCACCGGCGGCTCCCAAACATTGCATTGTGATCCTCTAATATCGACACAGTGCAGGCTGTTGATACTGAAAGACAGTTGTTTTATACAAGAACTCGAGGATTGGACTTGGTAAAGCAACATGAGAGTATCGAATTCGTATATGTGAATTGCTCCGAATCCAGCACTTCCTGCAAGCAGGCGTCCGTCTGCACTGGAAGCGAGCGTGTGGCAATTCGCGCGACGACTTTCCAAGGTTTGATCGTCAAATGGATTGAGAAGCACAAGCTCACCATCAAGGTACGATACAACAAGTAGGTCAATAGCTGGGTTGGGATTAAATACCAGGGCAGTCACCGGATGCGTGCTCGTTCGACCATCAGAAAGTTTTTTGCCGCAAGAACCATAATAAACGTCCTCTTCTAGGTCCCAGAGAGCAATCGGCCGCCCACTGTATGCCACTGCGAGCATTCTATGTCCGAAGGAGATCGAGATCACACTTGGAACCCGCCACGACCGTGTGCACTTGTCGCCGCCTGTGTCATTCCACGGCCTGTCTGGTTGTCTGGCGCCATTGTTGTTCAGGTCCCAGGATGTCAGGTAATTTTTGTTCGTTGGAATAATCAGGAAATCTTCGTCGAATGCAAGTCCTATAGGTCTAACGGGCACTTCGAAATTATAAAGAATATGACCGTTCTGGATGTCCCATACCAAAACCTTCTTGAACCCACACGAGGCGAGCACGTCTGCCTTGGTTCCGAACTGCAGGAACATTACCGCCTCTCCATGATCAAGTTTCTTATATTCCTGACAAGTCGTCACGTAGTACATAAAGATTTAACCGGTACTCAACCCCACCGCGAAAAACTTGTGTCCGTGGCAGAGTGCGCTAGTTCGGCCTTCGTGGAAAGCAATGCAAGACAGTCGGTCATCCCACGAAGTGTTTGACATTCCAATAACAGAGATCTTTCGCCCGGCGCTCGCATTCTTGCGAATTGTCGTTTCTAAGGGACAGAACGCGGGTATCAGCGAGTATATCGCCGACGGTTGGCTGATGAGAGCACCAGAGAACTTTCCCGAGATCCTGATTAAGTCCGTTATCCAACCTTTCACCCTTTGTAAATCAGCTGCAAGCGGCGACCGCTGACTGGAGCAGGTTTTCAAATACACTCTCAAAGCCCTCGCAGTGCGGATGAGTGGCATGAGGTTTCTATTTCTAGCGACAGCCTCGATCCATGAAAGACGTTGGTCTTCAGGAACTTGTCAAGTAAACTCAGAAGGTCGTCTGCTAGTGGATTGGCCTTCATTAGGTGATAAAAGAAGTGTAAGGAAGCGTAGCTTGAGAACTCGCTTCGTTTATCTGCTAGACACCTTGACACAGATCGCCTATTGGTCCTCGGTGGTCTCATATCCTCCCCTGCGAGGTATGCAAGACAAGCTCTTGCGATACGCGTATGAGCATCGGTTTGATCAATCGCGAACTCTGAATTTAAGCTGTTGTTCAACAGAAACTCCCTAGCGGTTTCATGCACCATCTGGACTCTGTCGAACTTATCAATAGCCACCAGCTGCCCACACAATGCACTAATACTTTCCCGCAGTCTGGGGAATATATCGTTAACATCTAATTTCAAAGCTTCTTCAAGCTCTTTCACAGTTAGAGGTCGCATCGCACTCGTGACCCAAACGAGTATAGCTTTAATCAGCCTCTTCCCACGTGGAGATTGCGACATCAAGTCCAGTGTTCTCAAATAAAGATCTTCCATGCCCTTGGGCACTTCCGCGAGGACCTGGCGGATCTCCTCTTCCGAGTGTGAATCGGATAACTCATTGAGAACCAAGACAGTCCAAAGCCAAGATCCTTCAGACTTCCCTAAAATCATTTCCGCAAGAGCAGCACGATCGGCTTCGGATTCAACAATGAGAGCATTAGCTCTCGCTCGAACAAACGATTCAATATCCTCTTTCGTGTCCGCCATCGAAATATGCTCCACTCGGACTTGGTCATATCCCAACAATGCAATACGCCTTTCGATTTCCGAAGTTTGTCGACTTGTGACAAGGATTCTCAACGGGACCGAGCGATCAAGCCTGGTAAGCACGATTTCGAAGAAGGATACCAGGTCTGCACACTCGTCGAGAGCATCAATGACCCAATAGTGTTGTTGAAAGTCTGTCTTGAAGATCCCGGACGTGAATAATCTTCTCCAGAGAATTCGATCGTCGTCACCGTCGAGCTTTACATCTCTTTCGCGCATTTCAAGCAGTAGTTGCCGTATGTCTGTGTTTACGCAAGCCATTTGAAAAGCAAGAGATCGAAGACAAGTACTAAGCTGTGACTTGGACCTGTCCCCGTGTTTGAAAAAGAAGAAACTACAAGCATCATGCTTCGTGCGTAACAGAGAAACCAGGTGTTCTGAAAGTACGGACTTGCCAGATGCAGGTTTTCCGTAGAGCCAAAACACACGTGAGGCGTCGGGGTCGTTGTCTTGCCACTGTAGGTAGCTTTCCTTTGATTTTATCCATTCGCAAGTCCCAGGCAAGCGAACATCTTGAACAAGTATCAAGTCGTCCTCAAATTTGTCAGACACGTCTAAGTATTCACTCAGGTCGTTGATGTTGCTACGAAGTAGCCTCTCCTTCGATTTCTGCGCTACGTCGAATTTAGCGACCTGCTTGCGAAAGTTGGGACTGGATCATACCTGATTCCACGGCACTGTTGATTGTGACCGCGAGTGCATTGCGGATAAGTATATAATTTGGATCGCTTGGCGCGTCGAACTTACATATGGAACGATGATCAGCATTCAGCGGTATACATTTCTCTTTGCGATATCCAAGTGTAGCCGAGTCGGGATCAACAATCAGCACACGGAAGACGCCTATGTTGAGCTTTTGGGTTTCGTAGAATGACCACAGATCTATATCTTTCGAATGTTTACTGAATTCATAATTAATCGATTTTATAGCGTCAGACCCGCGCTTCAGGTCTGAGACGTAGGCTCGCGACGAGTAGGTGATGTTGAGAATATTGCTTAAAAGCTTGGCAGAATCAGAGCCACTGTAAGGTGTCGCGAGGAAGTACATGGCACAAATCCTTTTGACCAGGTAGCGATCTGTTGCATCTTGCTTTGCCAACAAAAACGCCTTTTTGATGACCAGGCCCCCCATGCTGTGACCAACGAAAATGATTGGCGTATTCGAATTGTGCAAATGGGGAGAAGTACTCAATTCACCCAATAACGATCGAGCGAAGTGATTGATGTCCAGGCAATTAGCCCTCCCCTTAACCCAGTCTGAATCATATCCGAAGCTGTGCACCCTGACAGTCTTGAACGCGGGATCCCTAGGTAGCCATTCCTTTGGCCAGTAATACGAAGCGGATGCTGTTTTGCTCCACGTCTTCCTGGAACCGCCCCCGAGACCATAAACAAATATCAAATCAACTAGAGGTTGTTCTGGAGAAAACAGAAGAATCAACCCTAGCGGTCCTCTGAGCTCTTCGGCGCTGACTTCTGTGGCAAATTTGCTCGCAACATAGGTATCGGTCGTCCGGAAAGGGCTGTTACTGAAGACACTGGTTGCAGAAACCTCACCCCTTTTACGATGCGAACTCTTGACCGAATCTGCCAGTCTGTGTCAGCAACGGTACTAAAGATCTGATACTGAGAGCCTGTGGTCCACAAAGATCTCACCATCCTGTCGCGGCATTGTCTCCAACCACTTTAGCTCAAAATGTGCTCATTCCCAGATCCAGAAGACGGGGAGGGGATTGAAATAAAGCTCTCTAAACCATTGACGCGATTCTCGCTGGCTCGCTGTGCAACGTAGACAATCGGCGGACAAGCATTATTACATCCAATAGCTCCACTGCCCTGGTTAGTTACTAATAGGCGTTGGAGTGGAGTGACAAATTAGCATTATTAGTCAAGGCAGGAGTCGAACAGCGTAAGGCCACCGATGTTCACTTTTTATCCTGGTGTGAACTCGCCCCAGATCGAGTGGACGAATGAATAGCCATTGTTTGGCGCCCACGACTCAGGGTCGAGATGAGGGGTGGTTTTTGGAACGCAATGTTGAGCCACCTGGAAACTTCAATTTTCCAGTCAAGTCTCAAGGCTTCAATAGAAATTAAACTGTATTAGGTATTCATGTTGAAGGATTTCATAGAGCGCTAACCCCTCCAGTGATGAAGGTGTTTGAAATGCTGCTAAGGTGATAGGAAAGGCTGTGGCTTTAATTAGAACTTAGAAGCATGTCGGCGCTATCTAGCCCTTTTTGACAAGGCCGTCTGTAAGCCTAAGGCCGGACTATTCCCACAGCGAGCAAGATACATCATACAACCTACCTGTTGCCTGATTTTGTCCCAATGACAAAGACTCGTCTTGTCTTTTCTCACAATTGCTCAATCTCACAGCTTCATCTTGCCTAGACATTCGGCCTGACAATTCAGCCCACTTCTTCAATCCAACAATACAACATAAACCATAATGACAACTGAGGCTTCCTATTCAGCAATTGCGGCAGGCGATCATGGAGCTTATATGCAATACGCTTTAGAGAAAGCTCGATTGTCTCCGCCAGCGCCAACCAAGTTCTGCGTTGGAGCAGTTCTTGTCGACGCAGATAAGAACGAGATCTTATCCACGGGATACTCGATGGAATTGCCAGGGGATCGACCCGCAGATCCAGGCAATACGCACGCAGAACAATGCTGTTTCATCAAAGTTGCAGAAAGACATAATATACCAGAAGACCGATTGGGCGAAGTGTTACCCAAAAATACAGTACTATACACGACAATGGAGCCTTGCAACGAGCGACTGAGCGGGAACAGGACGTGCGTCGACAGGATATTGAGTCTCAAGGGTGCCGTTAAAGTGGTCTACGTCGGGATCAAGGAACCGGAGACGTTTATCGGTCAGAATCTGGGCAGGAAGAAACTCGAAGACGGTGGTGTTATTGTTGAGCATGTTGAGGGTATGGAGCAACAGATTCTGGAGGTATCTATGGCAGGACACAATAAATGAAACCGCTATTTTCAAGAGATGTACATAATGTTATCTCTTTTCCTAATCCAATGTTGAGAATTGAGTTTTATAACTATGCCTCTCCTTCGACTAGAGGCATGACTTTCTGATATCACTTCGATCTTAAACCGAATAGCAGGAGCCGGAGCATGCAGGTCTTTCGCAATTCTTGTGTAGACCTCGACCGGAACTGACCGTGATCAGCAATTTAGGACATTGGAGACATAGATTATGGACGTTCATTGCAAAACTTGATTTTGTGGAAATTGCGCTGGCTCTTGTTAATCTTGACAGTGGCTTGATGACTTGAGCTTGTGTATCTAGTTGTCCGACCGAGTACCTGAGTACCTGGCACATGGCCATGCGGGCCAACATGTTGCTTTTTTTTGGCACCAGAGATGCGGTACTTAAAAGTCTTTGATGGTCACAATCGGAGGCTAACTCCGATTTACGTAGGACACAATTCTGCCATACAAACAATCTAGGACTATAGATTCAAGTCCCAGGCAAGTATTTCTTCTGCAGGTAGTCATTCTCATTCAGCCATTGTGCTCGACAATGAGCCACCTAACGACCGATGGTTGTGAGCAAATGCTAGATAGTCTTCATGGCCAAAGGGGAGGCAGAAGGAGACTGGAAACTGGAGAGAGCAAAGCTTCTGCGAGCTTGCGGAAGCTCTGCAGCTGATTTCCATCTGTGGTATGACCGTATGTTAGGCGAGATCACGTGAATTAGAGGTCCGATTCGCCGCCAACTGGCGCGTCAGTCCTTCTGTGGTGGTAAGGGGAATTCAACAGATGAATTGATTCAAAACTTAGAAGAAGCCTGCTTTCTTAGACTATTTCTGACTGATCTTTGATGGCCTATGCAGATAAACAGACGCATGGCAAAGATAATGGCGTGCGTTCAATGCGGAGACCTATGACGTGGCACGATTGGCGGTGGGGTAATTGTGGCTTAAGCGCAGCTCCCTCGATGCTAGCTAGCTCCGAACGGTCGAGATTCAAAACTGCCCCTCCTTCACAATTTTCCTCTTCCCCTCTCTCTCCTCATCATCACATACCAACATACTTTCGTTCTTACTCAATCGATAAAATCAGCAACCATGGTTGTCAAGACTTTCTTCGATATCGCCATTGACGGCCGTAAGTTTCCCCGTGGTTCTATTCTATCTGTCAGAGTGAGGGACATGTTCTGATAATAATTATTCTCTAGAGCCGGCTGGCCGCATCACCTTCAAGCTGTTCGACGAAGTCGTCCCCAAGACCGCTGAGAACTTCCGTGCTCTCTGCACTGGTGAGAAGGGATTCGGTTACAAGGGTTCTAGCTTCCACCGCATCATCCCCCAGTTCATGCTCCAGGGTGGCGACTTCACCAAGGGCAACGTGAGTTCATCTGTCAAGCCTACTCTGGCGCCTGTGCGGAGAGAAAATCCCTTATGAAGTATACTGATCTGTACTTTAGGGCACTGGTGGCAAGTCCATCTACGGCGAGAAGTTCGCGGATGAGAACTTCCAGCTGAAGCACGACAAGCCCGGTCTGCTCTCCATGGCCAACGCCGGCAGGAACACGTACGTCGCTATCCCCCGCTATCTGTTGCTCGAGTCAAGCAAATACTAACATGTAGCACAACAGCAACGGCTCCCAGTTCTTCATCACCACCGTCGTTACCGACTGGCTTAACGGCGCTCACGTCGTCTTCGGTGAGGTCGAGGAGGGCATGGACCTTGTCAAGAAGATTGAGAGCTACGGCAGCTCGTCCGGTACCCCCAAGAAGAAGATTACCATTGCCGACTGCGGTCAGCTGTAAAGAGCAATTGTCCCTGCCTGATTGCGTCGGACTAGTTGCGCCAATCATGCTCCATTTAAAGACAGCTGAATAGCCTAAATGAGAGCCAGTGACTAGGTCTTTGAACTAGTGCATTTCATCCACTTAAGCCTGTAATCCTTGTAGCTCCGAGTGAGCGAAGTGCACTCAAATCCAATATTACCAGTTCCGTATCCCCTGCAAGATCTGATATGATACGAATACTAGGCCCTGCTAAAAGATTGACAATGCATACGCATTCTCTATCCCAGCTCAGAGAGAAATGCAGCATGACTCCATGGTACACCGTACAATACTCTAATGCAGTAAAGCTATGAGCTTCTGATATGCATCTCTGTACATCACAAGGAGGGCCTATTGATGGCAGCTTTTTGGATTGACCTAATTCTCTTCTCAGTAAGATTCTATGACGTTTCCCAGTTGCTCTCAGCTAATAAAAGGACTAAGTCATCCTCTAGTCCATTTTCAACGCCATGGCTCGCCAAACCCCAGTTCTACATGAGAGCAGGAGTAGTTTATTCGCTAGCCCTACGGTCATTGGCAACGCTTCCGTCAAGCACACCTTCAACCACATGCGGCTTATACGATCAAGCACTGCTATCTGGTCCGTAACTATAGAAGCCATGTGGATTGTGATGGGTAGTATAATCATATGGGAAACGAGACTACAGATCAGTCCTTGTCTCAGTGTACGTGAGTGGAATGAGAGAAAGAATATCCATCGGTGTTTCGTCAATTATTCAGAAGTAACGTAGGAAGAAGATCAAATCTATATGTAGAGCCAGGTAGCTGGGAACCGAGGGAATTTTATCTTGTAGAACATTCTACTCTATATAACTGTATCCGAAACGGGGTTATTTTGAAGTTACAACGCTCTATATGGATTGTCAGCTTCGTAGTCGCATCTTTCAAGGAGAAAATAGGAATATACTCACAAATTCTTTCACCATCCTGATTTCACCATGCCCAGAGTCATCCTCTGAGAGACTCAAGCGGGAGGTCTCTGGGGGCGGGACAGCACGCACATTCACGCCCCCTGCAATATGTACGTCGTGTTTCCCTTGGGTTTCATACTCTAGATTCTGGTATGCATTTAGGTTCCTCTCCTGCAGTGGAATGGGCAACCCGCTCCAGCTGGTGGTGGTGATGGAGCGTTTCTTGATACGGGCAGAGGAGCCGCTGCGGTTGTAGTGGTTTGCCGCGCGCTCGGACGAGTTATAGTTGTAATTGTAGTTGTAGTTGGCGCTGCTGGAACGGCTCGTGATAAAGGATTTGAAGGGAGGTAGGCAGCCGACAATCATGGCTTTGCAGGTTAGCGTTGGCTGCACGGTCGACGCTGGATATAGTACATACAGATTGAGGACTCGGCGATGCCCCAGATGGCCAGAGCGGCTTGATCCGAGTACGCTTTGCCTGTGATTGCCACGGCACGGATAATGGCTGCAGCGATGATGATAAATCCGAGACAGAAGACGGTTGCTAGGCCCAGTTTCTGGTGGAGGTTCATCTTTGTCTTCCACAGGATGCGGAGGGGGAGGTACATAACTGTACATCTCGTTAGCTCTTCTCACAACACCCCCTGAGGGGTCGTACTCATCAGGTCGGTAAGAATGTCGACAGCAGTACTGTAGCAGATGGAAATGACGGATCCTCGGATGTCAATCGGTTTGGTGCATTTTCCTGAGATGGTCAGCTAACGTACGCCAAAGCTCAACGACGACAATACCGAATCTAAAATAGTCCGACGGAGGATGACAGTTCAAAATCGACGCCAGCCAGCATCCAATATACGCCAATACTGCGAAAATCGTGACTCCCCACCATACACGACGATAATGCGGCAAGCCATCCGAAATGAGCCAAAACAGCGCCAGGAATGAACCCTTGATGCTCCAGAGCACCGACCAGAAAATGCCGATTATGACGAACTCATAATGCGTGTACTTGAGAGCATGATAGACGATGTCAGGCCCGGTGACGTTCAACAGCATGTAATAAAGGTGAGGAGCTTGCAAGGTCTGGAGGATCGCATTGGTGACCAGGAAGACAAGGGCCAGGAGTACAAAGTAATCGTCGACCAGGAGACGCTTCATGCGCTTGATGCGGATACCGAAGCGTATGGACGCGAAGATGATGCCTAGCCCGGCACCAGTCCAGGTTACTCCAATGAGTCCATTGACAGAGAGATGAGTTGCGACGCTCTGAGGGGCTATATTGGCCATGAGGAGTCCGAGGGGGGAGATACGTCTAAAAACTAGGGGCACTCCACAGGGAGGGCATAGATTAACAATATATTATAGCCAGAGAAGCCGGCATTGCTTCTGTCATTCCGCATCGCTACATGGAAGAGCTCCCTGTTAGAAGAGTCAAGATTTGACTTTGCAAGGTGCATACTGACAGCAGAATCGGTCCAACAGGAGTCGAAACAAGAATAAAGCCCCGTTCGTTCCAGACTCATGACCCGAAATCTCGCTCAGTGGACCTCTGCATGGCATGTGAATTACTTGAATGCCAAAATTGCTCGTAAAATGGGGGCGAAATCTCTTCTTTGGGCCGGATACTGGATAACTATCAGAATGGGTATGGACAGAAGAGCGCACTAAATAAGACTGGACAAGGAGCGGTTTCAACATCCTTGTAGATGAGTCTTCATGGCTGAATTTCCGTCAATAATAGGAAGTGACAGACATGGATGCATTGGTCTAGCAAGGATTATGCGAGGCTAGCAAGCCCTCTTTGCTGCAACCAATTCAACGGTGTTGCAGTTGACCACCGTGGAGACTTGACGGCATTTATATCCTGAAATTTGTTTAGCTTATAGACAGCACATACCATGATCTTGGTAGTCAGAGCGATCAACAGATTATCACAAAATAGAAGACTGATAGAGACTTGTCATTAACGGTCAGGGAACTAATCGACCAGATCACTGAAAGCTAAAGAGGGCTAAATCTAAGCGAAGCAAAGGAAATGAAGCCATTCCCAGCAGGGAAATGCACCGGAGACGCTAAATCACAAGAACCGCGCAGTGCTCCGAGGGACCGACCCCATTGACACTCCTCATGTCGGTGTCTCAGGGTCATCTCCGTCCAAAGACTTCAACAGACCATTCAGAGGTTGCTTCGAAATGAAGCCATTGTTTAGCTCCCTCTAGTTTGATGCTAGTGTCTCCCACTCTTCCTCGGTTAAATCGCATCCACTTTGATCAGGCCCACGGCCCCATTGCCTCAAGTCCCGATTCTGGAGATTCTGGGCGGTTGAACATACTTGCCAGGTATATCCATCGTAGGTAGGTATGATTCTTTTGACTTCAAGCAAGTCAGGATGACTGATTCTCTCGTTCTTGTAGCATCGGCTAACTCGAACCTAGATCACTGAGTAATGGTTCCAATCCCCAGCATATGATGATTACTTGAAAAACAACCATCAGAAATTCAGCACTGCCCCAGTGCCATCGCCGAGTCTAGGTACTCCGTTTCCCAGGCGCGTTCACAAGGAACGAAGCTAAGCACCTAACCGATGTCACCAACCCGTGCACTAATTCCGGTAGTTCGACGCCAGGATGGAGTCAACGACCTCGCCAATCAATAATGGTCTTGTCTGGACTCGAGGATCATGGCTGGTACCTGCATAACTGCATCCATTCATGCATGTTATGCAAGTGCACCAATCTAGTTTTGATACTTAAATGGGGCACTCAACATCTCTCTCGTGGCGTTGATATTACTTGCTTCCAACATCTGTCATTCGTTCCTTGCCGCTGCTTCTCTTCTTTTCGTTTTCGTTCGTTCTTTTAATCCAGCCCAGTTCTAGTCTCAATGGGCTCGACGCTCCTTTCATTACTGGCCCTGTCCGGGCTCAGTTATGCTACCTTCGGGCCCTCGTGCAAATGCGCAAGTATCCCGCTCAATAGAGTACCAAAGCGATAGCTGACTTCTCAAAGGCACCAGGTGATTCCTGCTGGCCTTCCATCGATACCTGGAATGCATTGAACTCTTCCGTCTCCGGCAAACTCATTCTTGATACGCCGCCCGCCATCTCCTGCTACCCGGGTCCTTACCAGAATGCGGAACAGTGTGCCTACGTGAACTCGCAATGGTACAATTCTACGTTCCAGTCTCTGTCTCCCGTCGGTTACGTTTACCCGACCGATGACTCGTGTCCTCCTGTCGATCTGAGCTCCGGCGAAACCCCCGGAAAGTGTACACTGGGCCAAGCCCCAGTGTACACAATCAATGCGACAGAACCAGAGGAGCTGGCAGCGGGCATTGCTTTTGCGAAAAAGAATAACGTGCGTTTGGTTGTAAGGAACACAGGACATGATATCCTGGGAAAGTATGTATCTGTTCCCGCTGCGCTTCTACGGAAACGACTGACGGAACAAGGTCGGAGGGATATGGAGCTCTCCAAATCTGGATCAAGTACATTCAGAAGGGTATCACGTACCAGGAAAGCTACAAAGCGTCGGATGGATGTGGCAAGAGTAAATGGACCGGTGCTGCCTTTACCGTTGCTGGAGGTTACGTCTGGCAAGACGTGTATGCCGAAGTCTTCAAGCGCAACTTGACCATCGTTGGTGGCGGCGACCCCGTATGTCGTTCCGGCTTCCATTTGAGCAGTGCATAGACTGACCATATAGACCGTCGGTGTCATTGGTGGTTACGCCCAAGGTGGCGGTCATTCTCCCGCGAGTCGCGATTACGGTCTCGGTGCCGACCAGATCCTCGAAGCGCAAGTTGTTCTCGCCGATGGCAACATTGTCACGGCAAACGCTTGCCAGAATTCTGATCTGTACTTTGCTATCCGTGGTGGTGGCGGAGGCACCTACGGCGTGGCTATCTCCATGACCTTTAAAGCGTATCCCACCCTGCCTGTCGTTGCACAGTCTCTCACCATCACTCCGCTGAGCAGCAACACTGACCCACTCCTGGATGCTATCACCGATATCTATGGTCAATATCCTGCTTTGTCTGACGCTGGCTACTCTGGCTACGGCACCTGGTCTATCAACGGACCCATGGCCCTCTTTGGCAACCAGACCATTGGCTACGTTCATGCCATTGCAACCATGGGCAAGTCGCTGAGTGCCTCCCAAGCCGCCTTCGCGCCCCTGTTGTCCAAGCTGCAAAAATACAACGGCACCTCCCTCTTTATCACCGTCAACTACTACCAGTTCCCCAGCTATGCTGCCTATTACACAACCATGTCAGGTATGCACCAGCCCGTCGGTTCGGCCAACTCCGCCTTGACCTCCCGCATGTTCGACAAGGGTGCTCTGACTGTGAATCCTACCATCCTCCGCTCCATGATCGGCGCCATCGCCGGCAAGCCCGAGGAGTACACCATCAACAGCTTGGAGATGGTCGGCGGCGGAAAGGTGCTCACAGACGGCTCTGATCCCTACTCTAGCGTGAATCCCGCCTGGCGCTCAACCTACATTGTTAACGTCGTCGCACGAGGATGGCCCGAGGGTGCGGATGCGGCCACCGCTCAGGCCGTCAAAGACGACATTACATACGTCAAGGGCGGCGCCATGAGACTACTCACGCCGTTCTTGGGCAGCTACATGAACGAGGTGCGTTAGCTCCTTCTTGCGCTATAGAATTCATACTGACTATGACAGGCTGACCGCAATGACCCTCTCTGGGCCACGGACTTTTTCGGCACCAACTACATCCGTCTCGCGCTGATTAAGAAGAAGTACGATCCTGAGGGAGTGTTCTACTGCCCCAAGTGTGTGGGCAGCATGACATACTACCAGAAGAACTTGGATGGGTTGGATTACGGCCCGCTGTGCTCTATTGGCTTCTAGAGCTCTGTATAGACTTGGACGCTGTATATAATACCACCTACCAAATCTCTTATATAGTATTATTACTTCAATAAGATAATTAATCATAGACGTTGCTTACCCTGTGGTTCTTGGATCAACAGCTTCATCCTTTTTGGAGTGGGTCCCCCCCTTATACTCCGTATAATTCGGTGACGGTGAATTACGCAAAAGAGTTTAGCATGCCTATTCGGGCTTAGCGTCTCTATGCGCGTTACTATCGCCGTGCGTGTTTCTATAAAGTCCCCTTCATCGCCGCTTCAACTTCTAGCTGTTTTTCGCCCTTCTACCCTCCCTTTCTCACGTTTCCTCATGTGCGCCTTGCGAGTGAGGCATTTTTGCCATTGATCCGGATCACCGAGCTCCGCCACCCCCTATATCGCCAGCGCGAACGGCCGGCCCTGTCCAGCCCTTCGAGCCATCCAGCGCAGCCTGCGCTGCTTTCCCTCGCCCTGGCCCGATTCTCCGCTCAGCTCTCACCATTACACTCGAGATGAGGCATTTTTGCCCTTGGTCCGTCGCGCCGACCTGCAGTTCCGGCCCCTGACATGTCAATCGGTCGGTCAGTCGTCGAACTTCCGCGCATCCAGGCGTATTCGCCCTTCACTCTTTCCGGCAAATCGACCGTGTGCAATGGCGCTTCAAATATGCCTGGGGGAGGGGGGGCAAATCGAGGGCGACGGCGTCGGCCGCCTGGGCTAATGGGGTCCGTATTATTTCGGAACCGAGGAAGACCGGGGTCGAACTGGCTAGTGTACGTAATCAACTAGACTGTCTAAGGCGCTATACGCCTCAGCCAGTGATTGTTTAAGTCCACGAGGGTTGACGAGACGATAACAGTGATAATTCGTCCTTTCACGATGATCGTAATGCTTCACAGCGGCCATGTCGAAACTCAGAACGATCTTTGAACCTGAAGACCTTGCCAGGCGACTTCATCAGACCGCGTTCAAACATGCATTCCCGTCGGCCTACACTGTTTTTCCTGCCGTTGCCCACATTTTGGATCTCCGCCAGCCCCTGTCATCGAGTGCGCCTTGTCGCTGACACCCCGTTGATTTCATGATCGATTGGCAGAGAGGTTGAGATGGAAGTATGACTGTGAAATGCCCATAAGTAAGTAGCATTGGTAATCTAGAATAAGCCTAGGGCTTGCGTCGCCTGGCTTATGCAGGGGATATGCTCTGCTTCGACTGAAGAGAAGTCGCAGCCTTCAGCAGCGTCCGTTTGGAAAACAAATCTGACCTCTGTTCCAAGGGTCGTTGAATGATGCAACGTAGCTCAGCATCATGCTACTCTCGAAGAAGCCTTTCTTAAGACCGAATGGCTATTTCCATTAGCGCGAGATGCTCATACTCTTCAGGCTGCAGCTGGAGGAGTTGGCGTGCCATTGCTGCATTGGTTTGAAACCATTGATGGAAAGGATGTCATGACCATAGACACCTACGGTCCGACGCTCGAGAAAGTTTTCTGCCAATCGGGACGGTATTTCAGCATGCAGAGCCTTCTTCTTTTGGCAGATCAATTGCTCGCACGCGTGGAGTTCATACACTCCAGGAACATCATTCATGGTAACCTGAACCCGCAGTCGTTTGCGTTTGGGGTCCCTGAATGGCAGACGCAGCAGGTCCTTCTGGTTGATTTTGGCACGGAAATCGCACCACATTCCACAGTTCGCGATGATCTCCAGGCAGTCGGCCTCATTCTGTCCTATTTTTATAGTGGAGCCGAGTCCTGGGAGCAGTATCAGCAGCAGCGAGATCAGGAGACCACTGCACCTGTCTTGACAAGCTTCTTGACCGCGGTCGCTTCGCACAAGCCCGTTGACTACGGCATCCTTCGAGAAATCTTCCATGATGCGTATCATGACTTGGTATTGCATCTTGAGATTGCACTGGATATAAAGGTCCTCGAGCAATGAGAGACAGCAAGTTGCCGAAAATGGATGCACTTGCTGGGATGAAGACCGCAGACCTTTTCGAAAACCTCAGCTCCACTCTCTCGCACATTGGGCGGTTGAGTGGGACGCCTATGTCAGCCTTGCCTTCCCTGACGTGGTCGGAGTTGTTGAACACTGTTGAAGAGATGCTGCGAATTTACATGGTCCTGGTGGCCCGGGATCGGCCGTCATCGGAAAAGAAAACGCAAGTAATGGGTGCATATCATCTGCCAAATCGGCTATGGAGAGATCTGAATTGGTTCCTCAAGAGAACTGGCAACTTGCCAAGAGCTTTCCGGCTTTCAGTGATTGCTAAACTTTACCACTACTTGGCAGTACTTTATGAAGTCATTCCATCGTACAGGGTATACTGGGCAGGATATCTACTATTTCTTGCTCGCGCAAGGAAAGACCTTGAGCCTGATTGTGGGAAATCGGCATGGACTCAACAGGATTCTTCTGGCAAGACGTCTGCAACAGGTTCAAAGCTGAAAGAAGTGTCCCTAGTCTGCTGAGATGAAGTCGAGATTGGGTTGCCTGTGGGTCCTAGGCTGGAGGTTCGAGTTCTGGTAGCCCTTAAGCAAAGCAAAGCAATTGAGCTTTCACCCCCCTCTTCGAGACCCGAGTGCAACTCCACAGAATAAGAAATACAAACAAACTTCGCGCATATTACTGACGCACGAGAACTGTGTCGTTGCCGCCATCGTTGAGGAAGTTCACGATGATACAGAGGAGCTCGGCCGGAAGAAGACCCAGAAATAATCTGTGCTTTTTCGTTGCCATAATGTAAAGACCTTAAGACGTGCAAAGGAAATTGCTTGCTTTTGATAGAGTGTCTCTTCGTTCCTCGTTTGGTAAATTTATTGGAGAACACTTAAGCGGAAGTCCGATCTCGAAAACCACTACAGAAAGGGAATTGGGCGCCTACATCATGAGTCTTTCTCATTGAAGCAAACCACCACAGCCAATCGAGTGAGGGACCAAAGATCCGAGATAGGAAGAGGGAAGATTTAGATCAAGGTAGGTAGGGGCCTGTCTATGTGTTGGGACTTTCTAAATTGGGAACAGAAGTTCTTACCATGCGAACGTTCCGTTGCTACCTAAATATAAGTACGTGTTGCTACTCAGCCACTCCTCACGCTCATCCTGCCCATCGCGCCGCTCGTATCCGAGTTCTATGATGGACATAAAATTTTTACTGAATACAAGTGCAGAAAATGCGGATACCAGTGATACAGCTTCATTTCCTCTCGGCCAAACCAGGCCATTTCCTCCAATATCACCTAGACCATTTGGACAAGATCGAACAGATGCCTGGTCTACCTATCAGGGCTACACTGATGAGTCCCAACAAACATGTCCGTGCACCCTGGCACTAAGATATACAGGCATCCCTTTGCCCCGGAAGACGATGCCACAATAATCTACTTCGATAGCATGCACGGTCCTTCAAAAAGAGCCTTGCGTATCGCTTTGAATCGTGGGAAAGTGACGACAGATTCTCGACCTGATGCCCTTTATGGCTACCGGCCAACCATGTCGTGTTCCGCTTGTTGGCCTCTACTACAAAACCTTCAGAAGATGAGGTGCCAGTGAGTGGGTCATTGTCATTAGCCTGCCGCTCCATTAACATTGGACTAGATATATGGGCATGCGCTGGAGAATCAATCGTTGCCTGAAACATCTGAAGGTTGAGCTATTGATCCCGCCACCGCAGTACCTGCAGGTTGGAGATTTGTTCTTATTGCCCGTTGTGGTCGGGGTCCGTGGGAGACCTCTAAAACTATCCGCGAGCATCTCATTCCATGATCATATGTCAGACTGGGCCTATACTGAGATTTCACGTCAGGGAGAATACTTCTTCCTATTCAAGCCATTGAGATTTGTACAGCCCGGAGTCTGGCACATATGTATCTGCGTGAAAGGGCAGGGCAGTCATTCCTTTGATCTTGATGTCCATTGTACGGTATAACAGGCTGCGGGAGTATGAAATATAGGATATTTATCTAGCTTGCCATAATCATTGATCCATGCATGGAGCCACTCAAAATACTTCGATCTTCCTCAATGTCCAATGTGGCTTAGCAGCCTTCTTCGCACCATTTTCCCTCAAATAGGCTTCTGTGGCTTCGAATTGTCCCGTAGCCGCACCCGAGTGCATCAGCCACGACAAAGGTCTCGAATACATATCGTCCGTGGAGTTGACTTTCGCTCCACATTCCAAGAGAATTTTCACGGAGTCCAAGGCACCATATTCTGTAGCCCAGGAGAGAGGCGTCCGCCTGTTCTGGTCACGATCATCTTTTGCTGCACCAGTTTTTAGGAGAAGACGAAGAAGCTCGGAGCAATCTCCCATTGCCGCGTAGTGGATGAGCGATCTCTTGAAGGGGCCTCGGGGGTTTGTTGCGCCCTTTGATTTCAACGACGAATTCGCAGCCTGTAGAAAAGCTAGTATTTCGTCGTCTAGCTTAATTTCTCGGAATTCTCTCAAGCGTTGGAATTCACCATCGATAATAACCATGGATTCGTAGGAAGCTTTAGAGTCTTAGACCCTTGCTTCATCGCGAAATCCAGAGTCTCATTTAAGCTGTCCAGCAATTTCCTGGCTGTCAACTGTCAGTCTGGGTCGCACAATGACAAATATCACCCTCACTTATATTTGGAAAACTATTGACTGTCCAAAACAGAGCGTATCTCATACACTCCGCTAGTGGCCTCGTTTTAAGCATGCTCTTATCGAAAGCTTCACCCGCAGCAGAAAGTCTCCGGACACGTTTGCGGCGAATATCATAGTACAGTGACAGGGTCTGCTCAATGGCAATTGTCAGCGAATTGCCGTCTGGAAACCTCGATCCTAAGTCCTTAAGCACGCGTAAGGCATTAACAGAGACTCCCAAGGCCGCTCCTCATTCGTAAGGGGAAAATTTGGGGCTTCTCATAGACCCGTACCTCGTTTAGAAAAGGAGTATATTTCTTGAGATACAGATAAATAATAAGGCCGAAGATGCTGGCACCCACGATAATGACCTTCATCCTCAATCAGTATGAAAGTAGGTATTGATGGACTGTTTCTGAGTACCCAGGGAGAAACTGGTTTATAGGCCTCGCATCTTAAAAATGCCACACTTTTGCACTTGGCCCTCTAAACCATGGCCTCTTTCCAACGTCCACTATTTTCCATACTGATTGGACCAGACTTTTGCGAAAAAAAAAAAAAAAAAAAGTGTACGGTTGGAACAAAAAGTGCCGATTAGCTGGGTCCATAGAGGAATGTCTTTTGAAGACTCATGATGCTGTCGCCCACAGTGTGATTGAAGTAATGAGTCATTCTGTGGATCGGCACAGCAACCCCAACCGATACGTTATCTGGTATATTCACTGACATCATGTCATTTGGCATTTTGTAGATGGATTCTGGGACTGAAATTACCCTGCAACATTATGGTAGAAATCCTGTTGATGACATGAAGCAGCGAAGCTATCCACAGAAGCTAAGATACCATGAAAGGAATGAAGATGCTTGACCTAAGCGACTTAGCATAACTAGTTATGTGTACATATCCAGATGCGCTGGCTTACTAAACTCAGTCTCAAATTTCTCGGTCGACTTTGCCGCCAATTCCAGGTGTTCGTAACTCATTTGTTTCCCGTCAACGGTAGCCAGTGCGTGCGCGATGGAAGTAAGATTTTTGATCTAATTTGCCTTGGTTACTAGGTGAGATTTAGATGCGCGTGACTGTCTTCAGGCCTTGGTGAATCCTCAGGAAGACTTCGTATACATGGCGACGCAAAACCGGAAGAGAAAAGAACAAAATAGCTCCTAGCACTCCAGCACACTGCAGACAGTTAGACTATTCCGGAGGAGAGCAGCAAACGTACGATGATTGCAAAGATATTGTGAATCTCCTGTGGGTGGAAATCTCCCCACCCACTATCATCATAATAGTAACATGGCAAATCAACAACGGATGAAGGCTGGAAACACAACGCAAGCAAGTTAGCGGCAGCATAGAGAAGATGCCCAATGACACTGGCTCGCGTCCAAGGTCCGACGAGACGATGACGACCAAGGAAGTACGGGTAGGTGAGGTGCTTTGCAATCAACACGGAGACAACGCTAGTGAAACTCAGTAGAAGGGATAAAAGCCTGACGAAAACAAGGACAAGCAAGATGCCGCCAGCGGCAATTCCATACATGCTTGTAACATCCATAGTGTTTTTATGCTCTCATAGAATACAATTCCATCTAGGGAACTACCTCTCAAAATACTTTAAGGGGGCGGTGACGCCACAATGGAAAGACTGTGCCCATGTTGTTACATTCATGGTGGCGGACCGCAGTTTTCAGGCGGCCCTAGAAACCGTGGCCTCTACCATAGATTTATGAGGACGGAGACCATACATCCAAGGTTGAAACAGGTAAACAACATTCTGCTTACCATTCGCGACACATGTTGACCAGGTCTTCACCGTTCTTGCAGAAGTGTCCCTTGAGGTTGACTCTGCATCCGGGTATAAAGTCAGCGGAACCCAGGTGATTCGACTTTTATTCAAGCTTCCTTTGTTCTCCTGCAGCCTACCGTGGCTGATCGAGTAACACGCTTATTCGTTTGGCCCATCGATCCATTTCGTCCTTTACATTTCCTCTATCTGATCCTCCCATGGCCTGCAGCTAACTCTGGATGATCAAGTGACAAGTTTATGGAGACTGTCTCATCTTTGATTTCGTCTTATACATTCCTTTTGACCCGGGGTCTGGTGTACGGGAGCGAACTTCCTTTGTCAGGTAATCAATGGCCTATCGTGCTTCCGTAGCTCGTTACCAAAGACAGGCAGTCTGCGCCGGGGCTTCGGAACGTCTGTTCCTCTATCAGTCTCCAAATAGTTTCTGAATGGAATATGGTCGTCACTTTTCCCACGATCTTAATTGGACAGCTCATCGTTCTCTGCAACTTCGCCTGGCTATGAGATGCTTGATGAACAAACTAACTGACCAAGCAACAATGCATATTTTTCTGTCGGGCTGGTCCTACATCATCTGCTTGCCAGTGTCCTCGAGCCCAGAGATGAGTGTCTATTCAGAAACCTTTCATTCCATTTAAAAAGCACAGACCGGTAAGACTCTATCGGTACCCCTCATCATCACACGCTATAACGCTTAACAATCATCTCGTTCTCATCTCCATCCCCGATACTGACTCCAGCCACAACCACGGCGTCCTGCACCAGCTCATAAACTGTAGCATTTCCCAGCCCATACCCAACCCCATCGGCGTACGCTGTGCATCCCTCAAAGCGAACCTGATCAAAAGCTACAAACGGCACGGACTCCCCAGCCGACTCAAAATCCTCCACTACCCACTCCGCATTCCACCCGGCTATTGTTGCCGTGCTCTTCGGTGCAGAAACTGTCTTTGACACCGTCTCCCCCGTACTCAGATTTTCAACCATACACACCCCGCGATTCGGCGCCGTCACATTCACCGAAGCAATAATAACATCCCCCGGACTCACTGCAAATTCATCGTAGTACATGGCGAAGTTGGGGTACCACTCGTACCAAGCATCGGTATACGGTTCTCCATCGATCACATAGAAGTCCACGCCGGTTTGCAGTATCGCGGTGGTGTAGGTATCCCCATCGATACCGACCCAGGCGGATGATGCCTGGTACGTGGTGTTGTCGGTTGGAGTTGGGGTTGGGACGGTAATGGTTGCCGAGACGTATGTGTAGGTTGCGCTTGGAGGCGGGTTTTCGAGCACTACGCCGGCCCAGTTGGAGCTGTATGTTCCGCGGATTTGGGAAGAGAGAGTGTCCACTGGCTTGAAGCGGGAGAAGGAGGCTGGCTCGAACTTTTGGAGGGGTCTGGAACCGCGCTGGGATCTGAGGTTGTGGATTTTGCCGGCAAGGGCATGGTGGGATGGTGCGCCTAGGGCTCTACCTAGGTAGAGAACAGCTAGAAAGAGAAGAGAGTGGGAGTTCATTGCGGAGAATCGGGGATTGGGCAAGGAGAAAATGTTGGAGGGAAAGTGCCGATGGAGGAGGGCCTTATATAGTGCTTGCTATCGGCTTTGATGTCCCAGAACGCGCTGAATTTAGTACAGATCCACATGGCTAATTCGAAAATTATCCGTCTTAATGACTGAGCTTGAAGACGATGTACTGCGAATACCAACAATGGAATTTGATATATCCAATGGCCAGCTCACCACGAACAAGACGTCTAAAAAGTGGGCAACCTATATCTATGCTAATTGTAAGATTGCTCGTTTCACAGTTTTCTTCATACAAAATTACCAGTCAAAACTCTATACAGTCAATCTGTTACAACTTCACGGGCTTCGATGACCACGCGGCGGCAGCTGAGGATGCTGTGGTAATATCCGAAACGTTTCCAACGAACGCCTCCAAAATGCCATTCGTCGTTGAGCATCCACTGACATAGTTGACGGTCAAGGTGCATCCGTTGTCGAAGTGAGCATGACCGCAGATACCACAGTCTCCGCCTGTCTCCTGGAAGATATGATCGTAGGCACTATTATCAAATTAACAAATTAACAAAGAGCAGGCGAGAACTGGAGAGAAGGAGCAACTTACGCTGCCATCTGGTCGCCGGTCATCTCGCAGTCGTCCCCTTCAACGAAGACGCCGCAGCCGAAGCCGGCATTCTTACCGTCTGTATAGCATGTTCCTGAGTTCGTATCTGTATCTTTGGTCCTATTGAAGGCGTTAGCCCTGGTCCGGTCTAGAGAAACATGCAACTTGCCCGTATAACGCATTCTCGGTAAGGAAGTCCTTCGCCATATTACAGAAACTGTGCAGATTGGCAAAAGTACCACAGCGGACTGATCCTTTGCAATCGTAGCTCGTTTCAGTCGGGGTAGGGGTAGTAGAGGTCGTTTTCGTCGTCGAACTAGTGGTAGTGGTGGTGGTCGAGCTGGTGGTAGTAAACGCTGATGCATAAAAACTGCTCATCAGCGCATCAAGATAGCTAGTGAGCGATGCGTCATCGCTCGTTTCCGTCTCGACGGCCGTAATTGTGCCTTCATCCAGCCCGTCCTCGTCCATAGTGCTGGTCACCGTCGTTGGTTTGGCAGCGCAAGCAGTAATAGTATTGCAGTGGCTAGTCACGGTAGTGGTCGAGTAGGTCGATGCTGGCGTGACCATCGTGCTGGAGATATACTCGGTACATCTATCGGCCTCTTCAGTCTCGCAGTCCGAGTCTACGGACTGACATCCCTCGCCGGTGCAGATGCCATTGGAGCAGCCGGTACCAGAGCATGTCACGATGCGACACAGATGACCAGTACAGGTGAAGTCAATGTTCGAGCAATCCGTGCCCACACAACCCCAAGAGAGACACAAAGGACCGAAACAGCGGCCTGAGCCTCCTTCACCGCCATCTTCATCGTCGTCATTGTTATGGTCGTCGGTGCTACTACCACCGTCGCAATCATCGCCAATACAACCATGGTTTTGACAATCATTGCCGTTGCAGTGACCATCGTCGCAGTCAGAGCCCGTGCAGGCTGTCGGGACGCAGTCATCACCCACGCAGACCCGGTTCTTGCAGTCATTACCAGTACAGCCCCTCTCAATGCACAGACCACTGCCAGTGCACTTTCCATTGACACAACCAGGACCAGAACACTTGCTGACCGAAGGAGCATCAGCATCTAGCGGATCAATGAAGCTAGAGGAGCTTTCAGTGCCGCAGTCGGACAGACAAGGTCCGTGACAGAATCTATAACACTTATGGCCGCAATTGGCAGTGCATGTCGGGCCCGGAGGATCACCTTCAGTAAAAGTGACACTAGGGTACTTGGTGCCATCGGTATTCCAAGGCCACGGCGGAATACTGACGGTGCGAGTCACAAGAGGCAAGTGAGTGATGCCCGTCTCGTTCAGAGGGTTAGGATCATCAGTAACCACAACAGGTGGAATCTCAATACTAGGGATGAGAGTTCCGATACTAGAAGTGACAATATCACTAATGTTCCAATTATAGTAGTTGATAGTGTCCGTGGTAATAGGTGTCAGGGGGATGGTAGTCGGCATGATATACCGGGTAATAGTCGAGGTCACCGTGGTGATACTGCCGACAGTGACAGTTTTGGTGGTGCTCCATGCCACCTCCAAGGAGGTCGGATAACCGCCTCCAAGGTCAATAGTCGTCGGGGCATCCAGAACAGCCTTAGGGAAGATTATGTTGACAGGAGCAATAGCAGTCACAGTGGGCGAATCTCCCAGAACTTCCTGGCCCACGTAGAGCAGACCAGTCCCATCACTGCCTCCGTCGGTATTTGCGCCACCCATACTGGTGTCGTCTGCAGTCAGCCCGTTGGGGTTTTTGAGGGAGCCGGGGCCACCAAGGTCGAGCGCCCAACTGAACAGCCCACCAAGGCATTTACTATTGGCGAAGTCAGCCTTTTGTCTGAGCGTACGGCCGTTATCGAAAGAAACCCTAGATACCCTTCTGGTCAGACACCGTAATCAAAGTAACACAAGAAAGATATTAGAAAAAGAAAAGTTAATTCGTACCATTGATTCCCACTCCAGGTCATCCAGTTGACCCCAGCAGTCTCATCGTACATGACATTGACCGAATAGTCATTGATGATACGGCTGATTTCATAGTCGGATAAAATGCCGCTGGTTCCTGTGCACTCACCAGCGACGGCACCTCCAGTGCTGTTGTTCTCGGTATAGAATTTACAGCCTGGAGTGTTGCAGGAGGAATCAGCCAAGGTAAACGAACGGCCGTAGAAACCCAATCCAAGTAGGACCTTGCTGGGATCGATGCCATTCCTCCACAAAAGATCAAGTCCGGCAGAAATTTCTATATAAGTTAGTGCTATGATCCTGAATAAGACGCTGAATAAATAGTCATAGTGGGACAGCGTCCAACCCTGCTAATAGCATGATACGGGAGAGTAAAATGGATGATCCAAAGGTCACAAACATACCTGTCAGGTTGGTGTGGGCATTGACAGCGGAATCCGTCCATTCACTATTACCATCCCATGTGCCATGGATGTCGTAAGACATGAAGTTGAAGAAATCAACATACTTTGCCATACCGGCAATATCGAAGCCCTTCAAATACCCTACCCATCATTGTTAGCTCTCGCCATATTGGAGAAATAGATAAGACCTTCGAGACTCACAGTATGAGGATGGCAACGTGCACGTCACGCCAAATTTGGTTCCCACAGCGGCCCTGAGCTCAGAGAGGAAGGTCACCAGGTTTGCAGTGTCTCTTGCAGCCCCACCTGCTAACAATTAGAACCGGAAAAAAGAGATAATTCAAGTATCGTTAAGACAGAAATAACTATCATGGAGGGCTCATCTTGAAGAAGGGTACATACCGCGATCATCGGCCGCAGGGTATTCCCAATCGATATCAATGCCATCAAAGCCATACTCTGTCATCATGGAGATGGCAGAGTCAATGAATGTCTTGCGTGTGCCAGGGAACCGCACCATATCAGAGAAGACCTTGCCTCCAACGTCCCAACCTCCAACAGAGATATACGTTTTCAGTGAAGGCTTCTTCTTCTTCAAAGCAGTGAACTTGGACCAGTATTCCTTGTCATTGCCATTGGTAGTGGTGATAGTGAAATCCAACGAATCGATTCCTGCAAACGAGTAATAAAGATGCTGGTACGAATCGTTAGCTTTACTGCTGCATAGGAACATCCACAGGAAAGGAGACGGGTAGACTAAACATACAGTCCAAGGGTTGACATTAATATTCTCTGGCAGCACAACATCGCACGGACGCTGGGGGTTCCATCCCTCATAGTACCCGATGTAGATAGCTTCGCTTGATGTTCCGGAACAGAACCTGATGCAGTCTTACTGTTAGAAACATTCAATAAAGGAGAAGAGCTGGGACGTACGGCTCATTGACCGCATCACATCCACTCTGGCATCCACTTCCGCAGAAGTCTTCGGTGGTACCACAGAATCTACCTATGCTTAGCAGGTCGCCGTAAACATTGACCGACCACCGTACCCATATTCAGAGCAGCAGACGTTCAATGGACACGTCGCCCCAGGGGTTTCCGCATATTCTAGATTTCGGTTATTGGACTGGTATGAGTTATGCATTGATTCGGCCACTTACCACCGCACTCAGCTACGGCATCACACGTTGAGATACAGACATCCTCGCCGCAGAACGCAGGGCCAAAGCCACAGTAACCTTCTTTTGAGCAGCATCCTGTATCACACTCCTCCGTCTCAGAGCAGGTCCCCATTCCGGCTTGGACGGAGGGAACCATGCATAATCCGCTAAAAAGCAGCCATCTGGCTATTGTCGGACGTTTCATGGCTAGACGTCCAATACAGCAGCAAATGCAACGTCAGGTCAATATTAAGGAGTATGGGCCTGCTCGGAAGTATTCCTTGGGGTTCTTATACTTGACCGAATTCGCTACCGCGTAATTTAATCCCATTATCTCCCATACCACTTGTATCCCTCTGCAGCTCCATGTCCCTGCTAGATTTTCCGGCCGAAAATCACGATCGAATGAAACATAAAGTGGAAATAATACCAAAAGGAAATTTCCTCCCAACGTCTCTATCCCTGGCCTGGTTCTCTCGGACAATCTCGTTGAATCAACCGCTTGGAATTGCCGATAATACGAAGAATGTGCTGTACCTAACGAGTCATGACTGAGACTACAGCCTTTAGCGCGGATACTAAATCCATACCGAAGCAAACGCCAAGAAACGGACACTGACTTGGGCCTCTTGGCCCTCACCCTGAGACGGTGCTTGATCAGCCTGTGTTCCGAAATCGGTTCACACGGGTGGTAGGTAGATAGTCTAGGGCCATGAGCACTTAGCAGATCGACCTAGAACCGTTGCATGACCTCCAGCGTATTGCCACTAGCAACAACGGAACCACTTAGATGCAATTGAGGTCTCGTGGGGCTTGTTCGCTAGTGGGCAGGGGTATGAAACGTACCTAGATCAGGGCACTTAGACATCCACATCCTGGCCTTCATCTGTTGACCCCTCAGGCCAGTGACAGTCAACTAGTCAATAGAACATACTCCAGAGTATGCATCATCATTCGTCCCTCCCTCCGAGAACCCGATTCGGGTCTAAAATGAGTCATTTTTCTAGGATCCCGAGATCGTGCATCGAAAGAAAGGTGAAAAAAGGGGATCCTTGGATACGAAGTCATACCTACCTTTATCTTGGTAAGCATATACCATATACTTGTCCGCGCGCAGTATACTAATTAACGAACATACATAACCAACTCATAAAGTCGTACTAGAATATTTAGTTCAATTGCCGCTCGGTGGAATTGCCAAAATCGGCAGGAGACCAAAGAGATATCAGTTTTTCGCAATTGTCGCAGAAGTCCCTCCATGGTAGAGGTACATGAGGGCTAATATCAAAGGGGATATACATTGAACCCACATCAACCGGTGCCTGACTAGTTGCGGGCCAGAACTAACATGAGCATGAAATCAGAGATTGAATGAAAGATACAGTACAAATTTCATGAAATTGGTCCAGTCATGTAAGGGGAAGTATGGAATTATGGAGGTTGTAATAGAACCATGCTGTTAGACAGGGTAGAAGTGCTGTAATTCTCTGGAAGCTGTTTAAGTAGTTATAATCTGTCTATGTCCAACCTATGCGCCTGTTCTTTTCTCTTGTTTAACCCACTTAGCCATCCCTTCATTCAGTTTCTTTTATTCTAGCCATGAGGGTGCACATTCATTCCCAGTCTATCATCAAATGGATGGCCGGCATGCAAGTACTTCTGTGGGCAACTATTTTGCCTTTCACAGCAGCTTTTCCTTTTGATCATCATCCCAATCTCATAGAATATGCTCCCCAAATTAATGACTCTGACATCCACGGGCATCTCTTCAAGAGGGCTTCAGATTACTCGGGGCTGAAGTTTTCCTCGACATGCGACGCAGCCCAGATACAGTACGTTAAGGATGAACTCGATGAAATACAGACCGTTGTAAGTGTACAGGTTTCTCGACGGCCTTGATTGATCAAGTCTCGGAGAGCTTGTAAGGGATGTGGGCTGATTTTCCTGGCAGTTGACGCAGGCAAAGACACAACTCAGGACATTGAGACGCGTGATCCTGGATAGAGAGCAGCCGAGAGACTGGGGGACCAGCTTTGCAGACAATAGCAGGCTCCTGAATACCTGGCAGAACTACTTTGGGAGGATCTATCTCAATAAGTATATAACGGGAGATGCGAGATCATACACTACATTTACAACTGCAGCGAGCAACATGCAAAAATTGATTGGTCAGTGCTAATTTCTGTTTTTGAACGAAGGAGGACAATACAAATCAGGCTGAAGAAGGAGGAGGGAAAGGAGAACCAGCCAAGTAAACTAATTAACAGGTCCTCGACAGATATTTACGACAGAATCCACAAGTCACTGTCAGGCGGAACTTTGTCTGCAATCATCCATTGCAAGGACGATTTCTTGAAATATCAAGGCGATAATGAAGCCGGGCAACGTGAGGTCCCCTATTCATCTTGAACCCGGACAGCATTGATCATAACTAACATTAAGAAATGTGCAGGTGTGTATAAGGACACCCGGGATGCAGATGAGGCAACCACCAACCTGGTCCTTCACTCTATGAGCAGAATCTGTCACGAGTCCACCAGTGCCCACGGTTGGAATTTCAAGAACGCAGTCACCCTGAAGGATGAGATTTGCATCTGTCCGGAATTGTTTATGAGAACTAAGACTGGGAACAAGCTGACGCGATATGCCAACGATGTATCCATTTTAATGGGAAAGAGCCTTAACGACCTGAAGTCTGAGGCTGCCGCTGGGACAATCCTTCATGAACTAACCCACTGCGAGCACATCCTTGGCAGTGACAAGACAGGTTCATCATGATCATGCAACAGTCTTCTAGTATTGAGAGCTGACGCATCTCCTTCAGGTGACCAATCGTTTTCTTTCAGGGGAAAAACGCTTCAAGCATATCAGGTAGGTAATGTAAGGGGCCTTGCTGCTACGAACGTGGGTCTCACTTTAAAGAATGCCGGTACGTCTTTATTCCAACTTACAAGCCTAAGTTAGTATGTCCACTGATACCAGTAGATACCCTCGCATTGTTTGCTTTAGGTTCGTAGGACCCCAACATTGCCCTCGACAGGTTTTTATGCTAACGTATAGTTCCCGCAAAGCCATGTATTACTCCAGATGTGACTGGTCAAAAGGCATATGTAGTGAGGTAACAAAAGTCTTTAAGGACGAAGACGGGACATATATGTCGTTTGACTACTAAGGGCGATGGGCCGAGACAGAGAAAAAGGTATCCTTGGAGGAAACTGTCATATTACTTCTAGCGAGCTTTGAATAATGCAGATAGAAGGGGGGAAGATTGCAGTACTATCTATACCCCTGGTACGGGCCAGTAATTCTCTGCCCTCCTTTGTACAAGTTGATTGATCTAGCCCTCTATTGAGGAGCAGCTGGAATAGATACTATGCTTATATTAGTTAGCCTATATTACATGAATGGGGCATGTGACACACTCACTCTCACCCTCACTCTCACGGAGTCACGGTCTCACCCTCCCCTGACTACGAGCACGGGCGGACCACTCCCTTTTATTGCCCATGCCAGTGGCTACTTCAACACAATCTACAACTTGGGGAATAAGCCTTGAGCAATATAAGGGCTATGGCTCAGTTAGACCAATTGCCAATCGAAGTCCTTCTTTTCATCGCAGAGTATTTGCCCGGCCAAAGGGACATCAACGCTTTAACGCAAGTCAACCGAAGTCTTTACCACCATCTGCATTTCTTTCTATGTCGATATAATGTCAAGCATCATCAGGGCTCAGCCTTGATACGGGCCGCCAAGAAGGGACATATCCGTTTGGCAACGAAGCTACTCAATGCTGGCGCAAACATCGCACACTTCGAGAGCCCAGCAGAAACAAATCATGACAGAAATACTCGTCTTTCGGAAATTGAGAACCCGCTCTTGCTTGCCGCCCAGGGTGGGCATATTGCAATCCTCAAATCCATGCTTTCTGAGACACGGCCGGGTCAAGCATGTTCACCAGCTCAGCTGCGCACTGTCCTCCATTGGGCCATCCGCGCTCGCGACAGTGAGCTCGTGGAACTCATGATCCATCAAAAGGCCCCCTTAGATCCAGCAGGGGAGGAGCGGGAAGCGCTCTCCGCCCTGGGGGTTGCTGTAGTCTCAAGAGACGAATCCATCATTCCCCGTCTGCTCAACGCGGGGGCACGGCCAGGTCAGAACGAAGAACCGTGCCCCATCGCAAGGGCCATAGAAACTGATCAACCACAAGTCGTCAAACTTCTTCTTGAGCATGGTATCAGACTCAACAGCGATACAGGTCTATGCTTTATAGCAAGCCGAAACGACAAGATCCTACTCCAATGTTTCATTGATTATGGACTGGATTTGAGCATGGACGGCCATGCAGCGTTGTTCACCGCTATCATGGATGGCCAATACGAGATGGTCGAGTTTCTCATTGAAGAGGGCGCAAACCCGCATCTGGAGTGCGAATTATGGACACATGATGAGAATGGCTTTTTTGAGACACTCTTTTATAGCTCCATAGGGTTTGCTATTCACTTTCGGCGCCTGCAAATTCTGAGGCTCCTGCTAGCAAAGGGTGTCCTCCCAGGGCAGGGTGATTTGTGCTTAGCAGTGAAGAAGGAGTTTGAGGAGGCAGTGGCACTGCTATCCAAATTCTCCAACCAAGACTTACCCCAAAAGGAGAGTATAGAGAATTATCTCCTTTGGCAACAGATAAACAGACAAGATAACGGTCTTGACTTCGAGATCCCGCATAAGTCGTGGTTCGTTTTCGATTCTATGCTGCCTCATCATTGACCCACGGTGAAAAGGGATCATCCTCTCTCAACAACATGATCTTCTCTACGATTCTGGCCTTGACCCTCTGGGGGTCGGCCAATGCTGCTACACTTGGAAGACGCTTCTCCAACGGAGATTTTGCCACTGGCGAAACGGACCCGAATGTAAGCAGCGGCTGTACCTACTGGGCCAACTCGATTAAGTCGACCGACACCTGCGCCGCGCTAGAAAGCTACTATGGCATAACAATTGCGCAGCTGGTATCCTGGGTAAGTAAGCAAGAAGAATCACCGCTATGCTTGAATCTAGATAAGGAAACTCTGACTCTGTCAATATCCATAGAATCCCTCCCTGTCAGCTTCTGATTGCGTCCTAACTGTGGGATGGAGCTACTGTGTGGAAGCTCCCGCAGTCAAAACCACCAGGAAGACTACGATGACCACGGCCACCACCAAAACTACAACTAATGTTGTGACTACAACAACCCCAACTACAACAACCATCACAGGGGGTGTCCCATCTCCAACTCAAAGCGGTCTAACCACCTCTTGTAATGCCTTCTACAAGGTCCAACCTGGTGATTATTGCTACCAGATTATGACCACTTATGGCAACTTCAGCTTGGATCAATTCTACGAATGGAATCCGTACGTATAATCTGCGCATCCCCAGACGTCGTCAATTTCTATAAGGAATACAAGTGTTTGCTAATATTTTGGCATTACAGCACTGTCAAGAGCGACTGCTCCGGACTTCAAGCTGGCTACTATGTGTGCGTTGGAGTTGCCGGGTCTGATACTGCTCCAACTACGATAACTGCCGCTCCCACAACCACAACAGCCACGACCACAAGCTCATCGTACTCTCCTCAGCAGACTGGAATAACGAAAGAGTGTAGGTTTACATTTTCTTTGCTTCATCTCAAGTAGATTCATCACGCAAAGACTATCCTGCTGCAACTCATACTAACAAACAGTATAGGCAATAAGTACTACTTTGTACAGAAGGATGACTCCTGCGCTGGCATTGCCATTAAGTACAGTATTTCCGTCACAGACTTCTATAACTGGAATCCGGCTGTAGGTTTGTCTTGCGGAACACTACTAGCTGGTTATTATGTTTGTGTTGGTATCTCTGGTATGACCCTAAATCTTCCCGTCTTGAATCTTCTTATCCCTCTGAATTTGGTTGCTAATACCTTTGAAGGCACATCCACAACGACCGAGAAATCCACCACTACCACTGCTGCAGCAACATCAGCTGGTCCTTCTCCAACCCAGGCTGGTATAACCGCCGACTGTGAGACCTACTATCAGGCAGTGTCCGGCGACAGCTGCTGGTCTATTGTCAACGAAAAATATACCTACCTGACTTCGGATGAATTCTACACCTGGAATCCAGCTGTTGGATCATCGTGCGCCAATCTGCAGGGAGGATATTACTACTGCGTTGCTACTAAGACAGTTCATCCCATGCCTAACACTACCAGCACCTGCAAGACATGGCATCTAGTCGCCAGTGGCGACAGTTGCTGGTCAATTGAGCAGCAGTATTCCATTACTGCCACTCAATTCGGAACCTGGAATCCATATGTGGGCTCTTCTTGCGCGTCTCTCTGGCTGGGTTACTATGTATGTGTTGGTATTTGAGGGGCAAAGTACAGGGAATGAAAAAAGGGCTACCGGGCCACCACGGAGCGGATTTGAGCTCAACAACTCTTCATATGCGTAAAAAGATACATGATGTTAATTCTCTCGTATTGACTTGATGAGCTAGCCCTTCGGTTTTCGACAGATAGCGAAGATATCTACAGCGGGGTGAAGACGCACTACCAGACTCGCCTAAGGAAAGCTCGGACAGCAGAGGCAAGAGTGTAAGCATTATGCAAAGATCAAGGCTTACCTCCAGGGCTCGTCCGCAGAATCCAGATAGCTGCAGTGCAAGCAGTGGCTCTATATGGAGCAGAGATATGGTGGCAAGGGCAGAAAGAGCCCCTGACAGGCATCCAGCAACTTGTAAATCGACAAGCACGAGTGATTACAGGAATGATGCGGTCAACGCCGGTTGGGCCACTACTACTAGAAGCAGCCCTCGAACCAGCAGAGGTAATGCTAGATCAACGACAGCGAGGCTACGCTGCTAGGCTACTAGGCCTTACCAGAGATCATCCCGCGAAGCTGATCCTCCCGGTCAGCTTCAGAGAAGGAGATCTCCACGTGCAACCGGGAGAACAACCAACCGATGACCGCAACTGGGCTGCGCCAAACAACGCTCGGGGCCCTTGGACTTTAGGACAGCACCTTGCCCGCAACCTTGCAAGTGTGATAGGAACTGATCCGTCAGCAGGTTTTGAGGAGGTGATAGAAGTACATCCAAGCACTTTCCCAGGCACTATAACAGTTTCATCTCTTAGTGAAGCGACTAAAGCTGCTCAAAGAGGTATACCTGGGCTCGTGCTATGGTCAGATGGCTCCAGGCTTGAAGATGGCCGAGTAGGTGCAGGAATAGCGTGGCAAACTCCGGAGGGCATTTGGCATACTGAGCAGATCCCCTTAGGGCGAAGCAAAGAGGTGTTTGATGCAGAGCTAGTAGGGGCAGTCGAGGCCCTAGTATTGGCACACCGATTGAGAGATGAAGGACCCGTCACGGTCCTCCTAGACTCCCAGGCAGCGATAGCTAGGCTAGGACATACTAGTCCTGGGCCAGGTCAAGCGCTAGCACAACAAGCACACGAGGCTGCTCGGCAACTGAACCGTCATGGTCGTACGGTGACAATCCAATGGGTGCCAGGCCACAAGGGCATTGAAGGCAATGAGGAAGCAGACCAAGCAGCAAAACTGGCTGCTGCAAAGCCCCATGAGAGGAACGCAACAAGAGATATCTCTGGCACACGTGAAGCGCGCATGCACGGATAGGGCCCGAGAACAAAGGACGGAGTGGCTGAATACCGCCCTCTCCGAGAGGACCCCAGGGACTCAAAGGTCATATCAAGCTCCCAGGGGATGGAAGCAAGATCCGACTGCTGCTGCTGCCCCTAAGGCGCTTGCACGTCGCTACTTTCAACTGAAAGTAGGACACGCGGCCATTGGAGCGCACCTAAACCGATTGCAAGCACAACAAACAACCGCATGTCAGTGGTGTCAGGCGCCGAAAGAGACGGTTCAGCACCTGCTATTTGAATGCAGACACTGGCGCAAGCAAAGGAGGACCTTCTATAAGGCCCCAAGCAAAGCAGGGATCAACGCTCCAGCAACTGGAGAGGAAGCCCCGCAGAGGCGACTCTTTCAGAACTAGAGAGCCACGCAAGCTCTCCTAGGAATGCTCGCAACAACTGAGTTCGGCTACGCACGGGGAGACAAGGCGCGTGAGGCGGACCGCATTCAGAGGGATAACGGGCGAGGTTTAGACGAGGTAGAGGAAGCAGAGCGAAGGGGGGATGGGTAGTAAAGAGGGTAGCCTGCACAGCCTCACGGGCGTGCCCAGGTGATACCCACACAGCTAAGACCACCGAGGAGGGCTAGGCCCGAATGCCTTTGCGCAAACAAGGCGGATCAGGCGAGGAAAAGGGAAAATAAATAGAGCGACCAGATGAAAGAAGGGTGATCCCGGGAGACTGTATGGAATGGTAGCATGCTACTACCTATAGATGGGTCTGTCATAGCCAGAAGGCTCTATATGGACGTTAAACTTGATTAATAATAATAATAATATGCCATCGGGACACTAGTGCACCACTATAACTTTGCTTTACCAAACAAGGACTCGGACATGCCATTCGAGGAATGGTTTAACCTCTGGCCCATCCGATGCCCAGTCAAGGTCTGGAAAAGAGAAAGGTTTGCTAGTACTCAGCCAAAAGCATAGGAATCGGGACAGGAGAGAGGGACAACGACGTGAAGTATGGCAGAGTTCAGCGCCTGATAAGTGAAGTATTTGATAGTTTCTTTCAAGAAATCACTGGTGGACGAAGAATCCATCCTTGTCAGAATATCCATGGCCTTTTCTCAGAGGGAAGTGTTGAATCAGTCGACTGAAGATAATAAGCCGTTCATAAGGCATGTAGGCACGAGGTCGCGTCGTATTGCTGGTCATGTGATAGTAGGGATGGATACGAGTCCTACATTGGTGCGATAAGCCGTTGGAGGGCCTCAACTCGACTGCGAGTATGATATCCTAGTTCACTTTGTATCTTGTCCAGCAAGACCCATACCCTGGTCTTTTTGGCAATGCTATTCACGTGCTTTCCAGCTGTATGGGGATTAGTCCTTGGTTTTCATGCAAGATTGAATGATTGATCCCTTAAGTAAAGAAAAAAGGAAAGAAGGAAAGAGGGAGTACATGAAGATATAGAGAGTGCTTACCCAAATAAAGAGGAACTATCGAGAAGCAGCGTACTTGATTCGGGATATCTGATATGGAGATGTTGATGATCTCTGTGCCATGTTCTTGAATCTATCTCCACAGTGAATACCATATCTTACACTCTCAGTTTTGCACTCACTTTTAGTGCATTTGCTGGATCTTGGAGGACGGGATCTGTATAAAGCAGGATATGAAGAGTGTGATACCAAATGATCGCCGCAGCTAGCTAGTCTTTAGAACGTGGTCCAACATGGCGGAACGGATCCACGAGAGTTTCAACATCTCAAGAATGGCAACTAAGGGATCAGAAGAAATGCTCCAAGCTCACCAGCTGCAGGGACAGCAAAGTGTATCTTGCGTAGTCCATCTTCAATTGGGTCCGCATACTTGATACCTCGAAAACATTCAGACAGGCTTGCGTACCAATTCTCCGCCTCATGCAGCAAACTGTAGTATTCGGATAATTCTCCCTTGCCATATACCAGGTCAAGAGCTCTACCGACGAGCCACAAAACTTGATTCCCCAGGCTATCCTCTTCCGTTTCCCCCTGCCGCCAATGGACGTTCCAGAACCAGGGCTCATCTGCAAGTGGATCTCGTTGGTGATGGACACCGTAATCTCATGGCGAATCCAGATCCAAAAGTTTGCACGGTCAATGCCGACTGATTGCGCGCTGATACCGTACATCTGAATAAGCTTCGTAGCTCCTTCGAAGTGTCGGCGATACTCTTGGCCTTGGGTCGCCAGGACCTCGTAGCTGCTCAGGATAATTACGGCACTTAGAGTATCATCCTCAGGGGCAGGGCTGCGAAGTTGCTGAATCAAGAGATTCAAGGCTTGGGTATAGTATTTGGTGGCGACCGGCACCCAGATTTCTCCGGAGGCCACGAGGCCCAGCTGTCTTGCCGTGAAGGCACAGACGCAGGTAAGAAGCAGCTCTGAGGTCAATGATCGACGCGCAACTATCTATCAACTTATGAAAATGTCCTCTATTAAGATTGAATCTCTTTGTGAGCCTTTCCATTTGCGGGATTTGGGGGATTTGGGGCATCCGAACATCGTGAAACCGGGAAATCCGTTCAAAGCGGCTGACCGAGGGTTTATATATCGAAGTCCAGTCAGTTCGATGCGGTAGAGATACGCGGAACGTCACAAATACGGATTGTCAAGCAGATCAAAATTGAGCGCAGCAAGGCTCAGGTTGAGGCGCTGAGGACGACTTCCCATGAGAACCTTGTCAATCTGCAGGAGGTTTTCCTGGAGGATAACATGATTTTCTTGATATATGAGGAATGGGGAATACCGCTGGAGAATATATACTCTGTCTTCCATCTCGGAGAAGTGGAGATTGCCACCATTTGTAAGGGTGTAAGTTGTAAGTGCGACCCTTTATGAGCACAGTTACTGATAAAGGATAGGTTCTACATGGCCTGGCATACATCCATGACGTCCTTGATCTCTACCATGGTGCCATTAATGTGAGAAATATTCTCATTTCAGCAGATGGTGGTGTTAAAATAGGTAGGTTGAGCCGACTGGAGTATAATTCTGTCCCACTGACACTGCTAGCGAGCATTGGCAACAGTATGATACAGCAACTCGACCATCATCAGCAGTGCTGGGATATTTGGGCAGTCTGCTGTATGGCTGAGGCACTCTTAGGGCCGAAAGGTGATATGGGTACAAGGGGCATATTAGGTTGTCTCGCAGACGATTTTGTGAAGCCATGGCCAGCCGCGACTGCAGAGGATCTTCTAAAGGTGTGAGAGCTAGCGCTTGAATCCTAGACAACAAGCTAATGAGTTAAAAAAGCATCCTTTCCTTCAATACAGCTCTGGAAGCTGGTGTTTAAGCAGGTCAAGAGACATCTACTTGATCACCGGGTTCGTGGATGAGCTACATCCTGAGTGTGTGATGTACTAGCTCCTTGGTTTGCAGGCTAGCAGTTGCATTGAATATTGATTACTTCTTTTCGTCATATTTCAAGTACTAAATAAAAGAAAATGTTGCTGTGCTGAAATGCACCTGACAGGGTATAGAAATCATGATACATAAAGAAAGGGACTGTTTTTGATCTGAGCTGTTGGGTGACCTTGATGTTTCATCAAGAGCAAGCACAGGCGGCGCCCCATGACGAAGCAATGAGGAGACTAAGGCAGGCTAGGCTTATTGTCCCTCCCATTTCTCTAGTTTGAAGTGGCTTTGCGGTTCGGTTACGACTGCGCGTTGATGGTGGCCGATTAAGGATCTATTTCCGGAGAGAGAAGTGTCCTGAATTGTAAGGTTCCCATTGAAAGCGCCGGGCCACAGTTTCAGCATGCCCTCATGGTGGCCATTGCAAACTGAGGATGTAAGCGCGCGTGTCGACTATATAGCCCCTATTGCAGAGGCTCAATCGTGGCCACAGGGAAATATGGCTTCTCTTGTATTGGGTATATAGGGTGGACACGTATATAGGGTGGACATAGTGATTCAAACCTGATCTCAGATTTAATCCTAACTTTGTTATTGCTGTTTCAATAGCATCATAATAACATGTTGGTGTACGCCTTTTATTTTACCCTCTTTGCCTTCCAGGCACTATCAAAAAGTGTTAAGTTTGTCTCCCCGTCGCAAAGCAAGACTTCATTTCTCATATCGCGGATTAGTTTCGACGAAAAAATCACGGTGGAGCTTGACGAAATAGATGACCGAGTGGTACATCATGTTTCCGTTAACTCTAATAATATGTTTGTGCCAAATAGATTGAACGCAAATATCGGCGACCAAGTGGAGTTTAGGTTCCACCGCCTGAATCGTACCTTGACACAGTCAAGTCTGGAGGAGCCATGTTCCTCCATTGGCGAGTTCGATACAGGATTCAAACAATTTAATCCTGAGGACAAGAATAATCCTATTATCACCTTGACAGTCAACTCTCTTGATCCGCAATGGTTCTTTTGCAAACAGACTCAACCATCATCTCACTGTCATGCTGGAATGGTGTTTGCACTCAACCCAGGTGATAAGATGGGAACTTTCCTTCAGAATGCAAGGAGAGCTAGCAGTGACCCAGTTTCTAGCATCTTGTCTGGGCCTGTTCTGGGGCTTATTGCAAGCTCTGCAAGTCCATTTCTTAGTGTTTCCAGCCCTGCCGCCACTTCCGCTGCCACTCCTGCTTCCTCTTCTGCTTCCTCTTCTGTTGCTTCTTCCTCTTCATTATTTAGCCGGATTCCTGACAATGTTTCTGGCAATATAATTGCCCTGAGCTCTACCCACATTTCTTTGATGGTGAGTCCAGTGACAGTGATAACTGTAACCCAAACGGTTAGCTGCACTGGGACTACTGATCCAGCATCGGTTAGACGTTCGACCTCCATGTCTAATCTCACATCAGAAGGAGATTGGTCAACAGTTGCTCCCCTTGGTGCAAGCTTGTTTACTTTACTTGCTATGGTTATGATGTTATAGATTACCAGCAAGCTCCTTCACTTCCCACAATGCTTCTGTTCTAAATCTATCATTTGGTGGACTTGATTAATTTTGAATCTGATTTTCCCTGTTTAATAGTCTTTCTCCCTAGTCAATCAAAACAGACCGGAAAGGACACAGCCACCCAATCAGTAAAGTTAAAGAAATTAGTTAGGAATGTAAACAGACAAGGCACAAAGTAGCACTGGATAGCAATGCACTAGAGCCAACTTATTAGGAGCATTTCCAACTAGCACTTTGAGAATCATGCTTTCAGAGCGGTTCTTCTAAGCTTATTTAGAATCTTGACTACGCTAAAGAGCTCAGACAACAAATCCAATAAAATATCTATACATCAAAGGGTGATATTATGCACTTTATTCTGGTGAAGCTTGTACTTGGGAAGTGAATACAAAACCATGTCACAACCAGGGTAGTCGCATTTCCGGCCCTCTGGAAAGTTTTGCCGCAGCTTGTGGGTTGCAAAGTGTCTCTGCAGCGTATCTTTGCGAGCATATGTATACGCTTTTGCCCTAGGATGGCCAGGGCCACCAAGGCATACTGGGCATTCAAGCCCACTTTCACTCTTTAGGGGAAAAGGGTTTCTCAGCGACCAAATCAGCGGAAGCTTCATCGAAACGGATTCTTTTCTGCAAAACTCTTGGCAGGTCGAGGTTGTGGAGAGCCAGGCGCATCTCCAGGGATTGGATCCGGTCCTCCACCAGCTCGGCGTCATTGACTTTGTCCACATCTCTGTTCTTAAACTCGAGGTCTGCAAGAGCTCTTCTCTCCGGTACCACATGTGAGGTGTCTGGCTCAAAAGTAATTGGCTGGCCCTGATAGTTGCCTTCAATGATGTGATTTTCGACGCCTTCAAAAAATTCTTCATATTGTTTCTCCTTGGCGGCCTTATGCAGCTTCTTTCTTTCCGCTCTGACTTTGTGCTTAGCCTTTTGGAACTCCCTGTATAGATCTGTGTCGTGAGCTTTACGTAGCTGATGTTGTAGTGCGATCAACTCAGCCCGAAGCATGTCGCGCTAGCGCTTCAGACTAGTGAGGTCGGGATTCTTCTCAAGTTCTTGCTTTTGCTGATCGCTCAGATCTTGCGGTACGGATGCATCACGAGTCAAACTTGAATTGGTAGCGAGCTTGATTAAAGAAGTTCTTGCAGGGGTTTCCATGAAGGCAGATTGGGTATCATCCTGGACCTGGACATAGTAGGCGAATTTACCACTTCTCTTGTGGCCCATGATAATATTCCGAGAGTGCTCATCGAGATGTCCTACAGCTATGTCAACACGTATAGATGGCAGGTAAAGGGCATTCCTTACTCAAGTTAGCTGCAGCCCCTTTCCGGTATTTGTACAGAGAGCCAGGAGTCTTTAAACCTGCCGACCTGCTGGTGGCGATCTCATATTCCTCTGCTCGATCATATTGGTAAGCTAGTGCGGGATGAGTGATCCACCTTCCCTCAGAATCTTTCACAGGGCGACGAAATATTGGAATTTCCTTCATGCTCTCTTTGAAGTGGATCGGGGTGCTGAGTCGATGGGCTGGGACATGGGTATAGAGCTAGATATCTCGAGGCTTCTTGATACGCTCACTGGCAAAAGCGTTGTCAAGAAAAGCATATTCCAGTATGTCTTGGATAACGCAAAGGCCAAGGTTATCATTCCGCTCGGTGTATGTGTAGACTGGTCTTTGAAAGGTTAGCTGATTTCAAGCTGGGTAAGAGACTAGACTTACGGGACACCCCGGTTTCTCCTGCCCTTGTTTAACCTATGCTTGACTCGCATGAGCAGCATCTGACAATTCGGATCTTCCGGGTGTTTCACCATATAGAGTTCGACATCCTTCCATTTCAGCGAGTCATTGCTTCTCATGTATCCAGAGGACTCGATAAGCGTTCCAGGGCGCGCAGATGTTGAAGTCATCATCTTTCGCAATGTACTATGCTGGTGTCGACACCGTACCGTGGCGAATTGCACTTTGCTGACAGCCATGAGATGATAGGTACTGAAGAGAAGATCATCGATGTTGACAGGTGGCTGAGTCTTTGCTCCCAAGTCAAGCTCGTACTCATCGGTTAGTGTGGTGCATACAAGCTAGCAAAATCAGCTTGATCCTTATCTCCTGAATATTTCCTTACCATAGTCATCTTACGCCTCAGTGCGTACGGAAAGAGACTATCCATTTCTTGGCACCAGAAGATTCTACAGTATCGTGCAAAAACCAAAGATCCTGACTGATACTCAACATTATGGTTATCCAGATACCAGCGAAAGAAACCTTCAATCACTCTCAGAGTGATATTCTTCAGCCAATAAGCAAGTCTGGAGGTTGGAGCTTCGATGTAAACTTCTGGAAATTTCGTTTGACATGACGGACATAACCCTTGGTAGTATCTGGGAGATCATCCTCAACCTTTGGCTCGGACTGCTGAACGAAGCTGTTCCAATCAATATCTGCTGTCTTTATTTTGCCTCTAACCATTGGAACTGAATAAGTCTGTATGCTGCGTGATCAAAATATATAAACATGAACATGTTGGAAAACGACATCTTAAGCAGGAAGAAGAAGGCCCTTTTATCTTTTTTCCCCCCTCCTTGTCCTTTTTGCTCTACTCCTTGTACTCACGGTGTAGGCGCCAGGCTCATCTCAAGATGTTCACAGCGCTAGGACAGACTGAGTAAGGTTGACTATTACTCATAAAAGCGGCGATTCACAGCGTGGAAAGGCCACAATTTCTGGCCCAAAGGCCACGCACAACCATGCCCTTTCCGTCGTCACCCAGACTTACTCCGTATACCTAATCGCTCAGCGAAGGTTGTTGTTGTCCCTCAGATTTGAGCTCCTGCTCGGCTTGAGGTTCTCATGTCGCGTTTCTGTTTCATCATCGCAGTGTGTCCCATAAGGTACATTATTATTCGATTGACGCTCGAGAAGCATCCGAATCGTGACTCCCATTAGAATACTTCATAGACAAGCAGGGGTCGTCCTCGGGGAGATGCACGATACGCTCAATATGGTCGAAAAGGCGCTACATCAACTCTCATTGCTTCCATTTGCCCGTTCGTATGCATGTCTATTATCCTCAAATTTTGGTAGACTTATCCACTTGGCGAGAGTCGACTCCATGGACCGAGACTGACAGTGCAATCACATCTATCTATCGTATCCGTAGCGGCCCCATAAGCTATCTCATTCGTACACTTGACAACTGAGCGCAAGCAAGGTCATATGTTTCCTGTGGTCGCGTAGCCAAGCATCCCGAGAAACTGCACGAGGTAGATACGACGGTGAGGCGTGTAGCAGCGATGGCGCAAGTTAACAAGGGAGGGATCTAGAAATGTGATTATAAGATTAGTTCTGAAGCTGGTGAATCGAAGACTAGGAATCCGGATGACACTTAGTGAGATAGCGGTCATAACTTCCATAATGCAACGAGTCTGTGGCTCTTCGAGGGACCAAGGAATGATATATTGACTTTGCATTTCAAAGGTCTATGCTCCGTCGATGGTGATGCGTTAGTTGATGCAATGATTGCTTGCTGATGCTTTGAGATTCATCAACTGACGAGGCAAAGTTTGCAGTCTCTCGTCTGTGAAAGATCTAGAGAACGAGTCAGCAAAAAAAGAGCTAAACTTTCTATAAGTCCTGGCATAGGGGTGGGCGTGAATGTGTGGGTTAAAAACAACGGCCAAAACAAGCAACGCGTGCTGATGTTGGTCTCATGTTTCTGTTGAAGCGCCCCGACAGAGGCAAATTCGACTATAAGGTCATACTACAATCTACTCAAAGTACAACGAAGAAAAAGGTGGAAGAAAAGGTCATAAATTCATTAATCTACTTTCAGAAGGCAGAAGTAGACTGTGACAAAGCGTAAAACCAGTAAATGATCAATCTTCGTCCCCCAAGTTCAACCACCCATAGAACATCAAGCCACCAAAGACGATCCAGTCATCCACCGAGCAACGTTAACCATGAGTGAAAAACAGGGAGAGAAATACTGTGTCGATGTCGAAAGCACAAAAGTGATAAGGTAAGTTCATTGCATCTGCACAACCATGTTAGCAGAAGTCGTCATGTCAAAGAAGAGAAGAAAGCTCACCAGCAACAACCACTTGTTTTCAGCGAGCTGACAGAACTCCTCACTTGGGAGGCTCAGCAAGGCAAATGCCATGGTAGCAGTAGCCAACACCTGGACCGCAATCGGAGTTCTTGTGGCACACAGGATCGGCTTCTTCGCCGCGAGGAACAACGGGAGGGTCAGCGACACAGATGCCATGATAGCGGTAACCCACACCGGGGCCACAGTCGGAGTTCTTGTGGCAGACGGGATCAGTCTGTTCAGCACGGGCAAGCATGGGAGGGTCAGCGACACAGATGCCATGGTAACAGTAGCCAACGCCAGGACCACAGTCGGAGTTCTTGTGGCAGACAGGGTCGGCCGACACTTCACGAGCATCCTTGGGAGGGTCAGCGACACAGATACCATGGTAACAGTAGCCAACACCTGGACCGCAGTCGGAGTTCTTGTGGCAGATGGGGTCGTCACGAGAGGTAAGCTTGGGAGGTTCCGCAAGACAAATGCCATGATAGCAGTAACCAACGCCAGGACCGCAGTCAGAGTCCTTGTGGCAAACGGGATCCGCAGATTCAGAAGTCTGAACAAGGGAGGCAGAATTCTTGTTCGCAGTGTTTGAGGCGGTACCCTCTCCAATGCCCCAATGGCAAATACCAGCAATGCAAAGACCGTTGAAGCAATCTTTGTTAGAATGGCAAGTAACGATAGAAGCATCATCTCGAGTGAGCTTGGGTGGGTCGGCAACACAGATTCCTTTGTAGCAGTAGCCAACGCCAGGACCACAGTCAGAGTTCTTGTGGCAGATGGGATCGTCGCGTTCAACCTTGGGGGGGTCGGCAACGCAGATTCCTTTGTAGCAGTAGCCCACACCAGGACCGCAGTCGGAGTTCTTGTGGCAGATGGGATCGTCACGAGAGGTAAGCTTGGGAGGGTCGGCCACGCAGATTCCCTTGTAGCAGTAGCCCACACCAGGACCACAGTCGGAGTTCTTGTGGCAGATGGGATCGCCGCGTTCGACCTTGGGAGGGTCGGCAACACAGATGCCCTTGTAACAGTAGCCAATGCCGGGACCGCAGTCAGAATTTTTGTGGCAAACAGGATCGCCAGCGTTGACAAGGCCTATTGATGTTGAAAGAGAAAGGGTGTTAGTAGGATGAGACGATTGGTTGGATGGTTGGAAAGAAGAGGAAAGAGCCTCAATTGGGCTAAGACAGAACATAAGAGGTAAGAACGTACCAAGACCATTGTCAGAGAGGTTCATGCCATCGGCGACAGAAGCAGGTATAGCAGCAGAAGCTGCCATACCAGCAAACACGCCGAGCGCGAGAGTGGAGAACTTCATTGTGACTGAAGCTTGACAAGTCGTCACAAGAAGGGATGTATGAGTGAAAATGTTGTTGATCGATGAGAGAAGATTCTAACAAGGAAGAGAAGAAGATCGATGCGAAGAGGGGTGAGGAGGGAAAGAGAGAAAGAGCAGAGAAGCAGGAGAAGAAGGGAGAATTTATACCTGAGATCTTGTCGCTAAAGAGTGCGCTATAACAGCTATCTCGCTTAATCTTTTGGAGTCGTGAATATCCAATGCAGATATTTCTGTCAACATCACTTCTGGAGAGGTCGATGGCGGTGGCGCTATCCCTAGAGAAGCGTTGTACGTGAATGATATGCTTCCTACAAGAGAGAATGACGGCTCTTCCCTGTTCTTCTCAGTGCGAGAGCCTTCTATATGGGGTGTACCGTGAATAAACTCACGGAATACTCCGTTGATTTGACTCAGACCACCCGGCTGACCCATCTCAAGAGAAAGGTTCTGGACATCAGGCGGTTCGGAAAGGTTATATCCACGTAGAAGTGAATCTCGATTGTGAATGATGCTGTCGTCATTAGCAGCAGATAGTCGATAGGAGAGACAGCGCAGGACATGAAGGTGGAAAAGATCAAAGCATAGGTATGTTATGCTTCATTACGAGCTGTGCATATGCTGCAGAGGTTGTCTAGATTGATCTGTATATGAGCATTATGTGTAGGGAGCAACCATATATAAGACCTTGGCTAAACATGAAAGGCTTTTCAAGTCAAGCAAAGAACATAATGCTATTATGCTACGCTATCATCTTCAAAATGTTGATATGGAGGCTACAGACTGAGATTAAAGCATCCCGCAAGAGAATTCAGGCAATAGAGGCTTCGAATCCCAAAAGACTATACCGCTATCATCAACGCTCATGCATTATGCGTGGCTTTCATGGTATGCTCGAGAATCAGTCTGCTTCATCTTTTGCGATGCTGTTTCTTCACTCTACAGTGCTGTTCGTCGTCGGTTTACTGATCTAGTCCCGGATATTTACATGACTATGGAGTAAGCCATTGCTGCAAACGTCCTTCATGTTATTCGGGCCCTGATCATGAATACTAACGTAATAGAGGGCAACCGAATAGAACCTTGAAGACACGCGCACAACAATACACTCCATGCAGCTACGGTCAATCTTCATGAGAGTACAAAAGTAGCTTCAGATATGGATCTGCTTCCGTTCGAAGTGTTTTCGCATCGGTTGATGCTTCGGTTCGAGAGCTGACTTTTGGCCGGAACCGTGATCTATCAAAAACCTGGTCAAAACAGAGCAGACCACGTCGAAGAGCAATAGACATCAAGAGTTCCTTCTCGACCTCCTGACTATCAGACGTTAATAGCATTTTTGCTACAATCACCCCCTATCGCGTCAGAATGTACATGAAGCAGAAAGGGTACATCGCGTAAGTAACTAGGTCTTCCAATTGCCAGGTTGACTTGAAATGAGAGGCTAATGATGGGATATTGATCTGCATAGGTTGAGCTCTCCAACATGTTCTCGAACTACTTAATCGTACAAGCAGCGGACTTCAGTGTGGTCCGGAAGTGAAGTACATGGCTTATATATTTTTCTTTTTCCCACGCGCTACGGCTTTACTTATATGGGGGACGTTAAGAGGCTTGCGCGGACCGGACAGCGGTTGAATTTGAGAAGCTTGGGGCTATTCCCGTTCATGGAGAGAAAGACGATTGCACTGAATCGAGTGGTGGATAGCGTGATAACTGACATGGAAGGGTTTGCGGTGTTGTGTGTACGCCGGAGAAGGCTGGACAACGTCGGTCTTTCATCGAGGCACGGAGTTGGAGGCCATCTCAAGGCCAACATTGGAGGGGAATACATTAAGTTTACCTCTCATGCTACGTGAGCAATCGCAGAGTTTAAGACTCAATATTGTTGACACAAGATCCTCTAGTAGGAACGATCCAGTATTCAGATTGCATCGTCGGACTGCAGATAGGAAGGACAAGGCACATCGAACAAGTATGACATTCATTGTCAAAGGCCCATCGGCAAATTATGTACTGCTGCTATGCCTCAGCTTCGTGGGAAATTTTCTCATTATTGTACACATCAAATATAAGTCAGGTCTACTGGTTGCCGGGAACCGGTCCATCCTTCCCAATCTCCAATCCGCGCACCACCAGGAGGCTGTAGGAATTCATTTACATCTAGAGAAGACGTAGAGCGGTGGAAAATCTTGCCCAATAACCAGATATACAGCTTTACGCAGTCTCCGGCAGTCTCAAACGCCGATTTGAAGTTCTCGGGTTCAGAAATCAAAGCCGGACCGACAATTTCTAGGATCTTCCCCCAATCCTCAATCGGCAGAGTGCAGACACCGCTTCTCACGTAGCATTCGGCATGCGTGCGGAGGGCATATTGCTTCAGCTCACTGCAGGTCTGCGGCTCTGGACCGTTGGTGAAGGGGACTAGTTCCTCTTGCAGGCAGAGCATGGTCTTCGTGATCCATTCCTGGCCGGACGCGCTCATCTTGGGTCTCCAGACGAGAGACTTTTCACAGAATTTCTGGCCGAACCCAATCGGATAGCCTGATTGTCCACAGTGGTATCGAGACTCGAGGCATTGCGCGTAGAAGTTGCAACTGTTGAGAGGCGGGTGAGTACATTCTTCAGAACTGTGGTTTTGGGTGCATTTATGTTAGTTTCATGCATTACATCATTGTGAGAAGTCGCTTGCTGATTGTACCTTTGGGAATTCGTTGTCGCATCAGTGTGACTCGGTGACGTTAAAAGAAGTAGGGCATAGGCCAAACCAGCAAGAGATGTAGAAGGGTACATAGTAAGGTTATGTTCTCTTTAGAAATAGGATTTTGTCAATGGCGTAAATTATAGGATGAAGTATCTTGCAATAGGACTAGAGGGGTTCTTGTAGTGATCTGAGCTTCCCTGCCAAGGTCAGTGCTCATATCAGTGAGACACATGATGGGCTGTGCTGATCCTGGCATCTTAGGCGCAATCAAGTATAGAAGCATGTGAAAGGAACGGTTAGCAATATATTTGACACAAAACGTTAGGGTCTAGATCGAGGGCAGGGACAGTCCTGCAGGCATAGTCCAGGTCGATTTCGGTTAGCCTGATATATATATTCCACTTCATGTACTTAAAGACCTACTGCAATACAATCACCATAGAGCTTGAAGATAATACATCTGAAATTAACTGACAATATACTGGATAATATCTAGAAAGAAGTAGACAGAAGACCTCCAACGAGACAGACTACGAGCTCGAATGGAATCATCCCTCAACCATTGTGATCTGAGTATCCAGCAACTTATGCATGGGTTGATTATGGACATGAGTAACATTAGAATCTAACATGGATCTAAACTGTCAATGTTGAATCATACAGATTCAATGTTGGTTTCCAAAGCAAACAGAAAAAAACAACTCCCTATCAAACCGGTGTGTTTACGTCCCATGCATAATCTTCATTTACGAGTCAATTCTGTTGCACGCGAGATTGGGAGCCGGGAAGGAGTCAGAGTCGGCGAAGGGCAGGTTAAGAGGTAAATCGACTGTTGAGCGAGAACCGTGTCAGTACAAATGGCGTCAGCAGTAACCCGTTGGGTATATAGCAGAGGGTACAGACGCTCACAGTAGTAGAAGCACATATGCGGAATTGAGGCACTAGTGGTAGTTGGGCTGGTGTATCCCACAAGAGGATCTATAGTAGAGACGAGGCAAACATTCTGTTGACAGAGAAGTCATATACCTTAGACGAGATGCTCCGGCCTGTTTTGCAAGCGTGTAGAAGCCGGAAGACTCGCGTTTGACGCAGCACGTGGAAGAGACAAAACATTGAGCAGATGTGGAACAGTGAAGCATCACCAAGCTCCTCCTTCCACTCTTTTCCCCACAACAGCTTCCAAGTCAACGTCAATATGCTTGATTGAAAGACAGGTATACCAACTACTTTTACTTTTCATATACTTGTTTGTTTACCACTGTGACATGATATCGAATCAGAAGATGTGAGACCTAGAGCTTCGACCTTGACTACATTAGCTGACTGTCAGGATTTCGCTGAATGTTCTCAATCTGCATGGACCAAAGGTGAACCAGTTGCTCTTCTCACAACTGGTCGCCATTCGCTGAGCATAACCATTGTTCAGGCATCCCATAGTAAACGAAACCACTGCTTAGGGTTGTTCTTGTGGCACTGGCGGGTGTATCCCTACCTGACCTGTTCCTGAGGGGATGCGCCTGGCCATGGACTGATCTTGCATTCACGGTTATTTTGGCCTTTTTATCTGTTTACAGAGCTTCAAATTCGCTACAATTGCCTCGTCTGGTTTATTACTCCTTCAGGGAAATGCTTCCAACGCCATTGCTGATTCATGCACTATAGGGCGGCTGCTTCCCGGACGTTGAACGGTATAAGTTATAACATGGCACAAATGGATACTCATGTTGATCCAGGGGGCAACACTTGTTTTACAACAGGGCTGCAATGATTTCCTCCAATGTTCAACTAAAAGGACAAGAATAGTCGCTCGGTGAGATATTGCGCGCCCACAAGCATATACAACTGGACGAGTTCCGCCGTGAAAACGATCGCAGATATAGATGAGAATTGGAATGATCTCAGAGACTTCACATATCTCTCGACAGCATTCCGACCTCAGGCTCCGTATAAGTATATGAAGTACCCAGGAAACCCCTCCTTGATCCTTCTATGGTTAAAGCTAACTAGAGGTGATTTGCAGGGTCCCACCGGATCAGGTCTCCGTGTCGCATCATCATTCGATCAGCATGTACGACCCATAATATCCCCATCCTACAATTTACATCGTTGGTCCATCTACATAAAGACTGGTTGGTGCAGCAGAAACCCACCGAGAATTTCTCCGCATCAGTGATCGCTGGCTGCCCCGCCAATGCTTTATTAGACCGGTCACCGAGCAATCCCTCCTCCCGAGAACACAGTAATCGTAAAAGAACCAGGAGTTCTTGACGTCCACCGAAGCAAGACCGCCGTGTGCTGCGAGATGGCCAAACCCAGCAGCAAGATTCACCGTGCTTGGTGGAAGGAGTGCTCCGTCTACCAGATCTACCCAGCTTCCTTCAAAGATTCCAACGATGACGGCATTGGGGATATTCCCGGCATCATTTCCAAGCTCGACTATATCAAAAACCTGGGAGTAGATATTGTCTGGCTGTGTCCGTCCTACAAATCCCCTCAGGTGGATATGGGCTATGATATTTCCGATTACTATAGCATCGCAGACGAGTACGGCACGGTCGCGGATGTGGAGAAGCTAATAGAGGGATGCCACAAGCGAGGAATGAAGCTTTTGATGGACTTGGTGGTTAACCATACGAGTGACCAGCATGAATGGTTCAAGAAATCCCGCAGTTCAAAGGATAACCCGTATCGCAACTGGTACATATGGAAGCCACCAAGGTACGATGAGCAGGGAAAGCGTCATCCACCAAATAACTGGATCTCTCATTTTCAAGGTATGCTCGATCGGCCGAAGAAACTCAGTCAAATACTGACAGAAGCAGGAAGCGCTTGGCAGTACGACGAGCTCACGGATGAATACTACCTCCATCTGTATGCCAAGGAACAGCCTGATCTCAACTGGGAGCACCCACCTGTGCGCGAGGCCGTCCACGACATCATGCGGTTTTGGCTGGACAAAGGAGCGGACGGATTTCGGATGGACGTGATCAACTTTATCAGCAAAGAGCAGAGCTTCCCTGACGCCGATGTCAAAGATCCCAAAAGTATCTGGCAATGGGCCGACAAATACTACGCCAACGGGCCCCGCCTACATGAGTACCTACAGGGTCTGGGCCAGATTCTCAAAGAATACGACGCTTTCAGTGTTGGTGAGATGCCATTCGTCAAAGACACGGAGGAGGTTCTGAAGGCTGTCCGTTTCGACCGCAACGAGATCAACATGATCTTCAACTTTGAGCATGTGGATATTGACCACGGAGAATTTGACAAGTTCGTGCCCGGAAGCTGGAAGCTTACTGATTTGAAGGCCTTCTTTGAGAGATGGGAGAAGTTCATGTATGAAAACGATGGGTGGAATGCTCTGTATTGGGAAAACCATGATCAGCCGCGGTCGATCGATCGATACACCCAGGCAAAGGAGGAGCATCGTCTGGTAGCCTCCAAGCTCCTGGCTACCATCCTAACGCTACAGGCTGGCACACCGTTTATCTACCAGGGTCAGGAATTAGGCATGAGGAACGTGCCAGTGGAATGGGGCATCGAGGAGTACAAGGATATAGACTGCCTCAACCATTGGCATGAGTATGTACACCCCCTACATATTCATGAACATGACTGACGCACGCAGACTGCTAAAAACCAAGCAATTCGACACTAAAGCGCAGCAGATCGCCAAACAGGAGTATCAGAAAAAATCACGAGACAACGCGCGCACGCCAGTTCAATGGAGCTCAGCACCAAATGGAGGCTTCACAGGGCCCAATGTGAAGCCCTGGATGTCAGTCAATCCGGACTATGTGCGCATCAATGCCGAAGCAGAGGTCACCGATCCAAACTCAACGTACCACTACTGGGCGTCCGTGTTGGGTCTTCGCAAGAAATATCTGGACATCTTCGTCTACGGTAACTTCGAGATGGTGGACCGCGATAGCCAGGAGGTCTTTGCGTATACTCGACAATATGAGAATCAGAGGGCGTTAGTTGTGGGCAACTTCACCGACAAGACGCTGGAGTGGGATCCTGCTGCCAACCGCATCAAGGGCGTAAAGGAGGTGCTGCTCAACACTTATGAAGAGGCAAAGAAAGCGTCACCAAGATTTGCTGGAGAGAAGTGGTCTCTTCAACCGTATGAAGCGGTTGCGGTACTTGTGCAGGAGTAACGGGATTGTGATGCGGCTTTATAAACAGCAAGTGACGGTCGACCATTCGATAGACCTGAGTAGAAATAGACCTATGATATGAACACTATGTGCAGACGACGCTTCAATTCTCGAAAGCTTCGAATGTTGTCAGTCGACTCAGTCCAAGATAGCCGTTGCGATTTGGAAATGCTTCCCCGCACTGATAAGCGATAAGCATCCAGCTTCCTTGATCTACGGAGTGACAAACTTCAACTTCTCCCTTCACCTTCACCTTCATTCCAATCTCCATAATTGCATACCAACCTCGCAAACAACCACCAAACGCAATTGACACACACAACCATGACAACCCAACCGCCTCAAGACCAGACATCAACCACCCCCTCACTCCCCCCACACCTCGACCCAACCACCTACCCACGAACCCTCACCTCCGCAACCCACAACATCCATCTCGAACTCACCTACTCGACACTGAACCCCACCGTCGCACTCGAGCATACCTCCTCCCCGGCAGCAGGGGCCAATGTCCTCTTCCTCGGCACAACACGCAACACCTTCGAAGGCCGCGCCGTCTCCCAGCTCAGCTACACTTCGTACCCGCCTCTAGCGCTCAAATCGCTCATGTCAATCGCTACCAGGGCGGCGGAGAAGTTCGATCTAAAGGGGGTGTATATTGCGCATCGGCTGGGGGTTGTTCCAATCTCGGAGGCGTCGATTGTGGTTGCGGTTAGTGCGGGGCATCGAGGGATGGCGTGGAAGGCGGGCGAGGAGGTGCTGGAGGAGGTGAAAGAGAAGGTGGAGATCTGGAAGAGGGAGGAGTTTGTGGATGGGGGGATGGAGTGGAGGGAGAATAGGGAGAGAGATGCGGAGGGGAGGTTATTATCTTCGACTGAGGGGGGAAAATAGAGATGTGGATTTATGAGGTCAGGTCTAATGTACAGGTACGAGTCAGGCTCAGTCTAGTTCTGTACAGCGCAGCGCAGCAACGAAGATACGATAGATCAATCCCGCTTCAAAGGCTTTCCTTCTCTCTTCCAGTCATTGATGTGCTGAAGAATCAGCTTCGATGCCGACTCGGGCGTATCCTGCCGTCCAATGCACTCGACGAAATCATTATCGGGGTCTGTACCACATTAGCAGTTTTCACTTGACATAAAGAAAAGAGAACCTCACCCATCAGATAAAAGTATATACTGTGGTCCACCAGGTAATCCTCCCCAGGCTTCACATCCTTGGGCGTACTGAAATACACCCGGTACTGCTTGCACACATGCTTCACCTGCTCATACGTGCCCGTCAAGCCAATAATATCCGGATGGAACTCCTTCAGATACTCCCGCAAAACCTGGGGCGTATCGCGCGCAGGATCACAGGTAATAAACACTGGCAGGAAGATATTCTCCCCCTTCGTCGCCTCCTTGACCCGATCAATAATCTCGGCCATCTTATCCAGTTCATCGGGGCAGATATCAGGACAGTGCGTGAAACCAAAGTACACCTGCCAACCACATTAGCACGGGTACAAGCATCTCGCAAAGAAAAAGAGGAGAACCACATACAAAACTATACTTCCCCTTCAAATCCTCCGCCGTAAACTCCTTCCCATCCAAATCCATCAGCGTAAACGGGCCCCCAACCTTCGGCCGTCCAACCCCCTTGCTCATCTCCGCGATCCGCTTCCGCTCCAACCGCTCCTTCTCAACCCGGAAATAAACGATCATTCCCGCGCCCGTCAGCACGAACAGCAGCGCCGCCTTCCACGAGAACGGACCCGTTGCGTTCCGCGCGCGCAGCTGGCCCATCGTCTTGGCGCGGAGACAAGCCGGGGAGGTCGAGAAGCCTCGCTGCTGCGAGGTGGCACGTCCAATTCCAATTCCATTTGGCTTCGGTGTTGTGAGGGCGCTTCGGGAGAGAAGGGCGGCTGTTCGCTGTGTTGGGAGGCGAGCGCTGGACTCGACGGTGGAGATGCCGGACCGGCTTAGCCGGCCTAGAATGCGGGAAACCGGTCGTACCGATGAGGCCATGGTGTGTTTTGTGAGTTGTGTGGAGTGTCCTTGGGATTAGAAGTTTTGTTCGGAGGTTAACGCTTATTGTCTGATGCGCGCTCAGTACGGATGGTGCCACATGTGGTTTAGTGTTGCTGCCTGAGGCTGTAATAAAACAAAATCACGTGATATTCCATTAACTGCTGCTTCTGGGATTAATATTTCTCAGACTATGGTCATCAATCTCGTTATTTTAAAATTACATAACTGCCCGATGTAGACCTTCTAGTTGAACAATGGTAAAGAGAAAGTAGTCAAACAGAAGAACATGCGAGGTAAGCAGCGTCAAACGAACCAGGTATTCTCTTATCGGACGAAAAAACGAGACGCAAGTAAAAGATGTGAAAATGGAACATGACACTTTTGCGATGGAAGCTCGCAATATGTACACTTGAGATAGAAAAGGAGGTCGTGTCGTGGAATTCAGAATTGCAAGGACATATCACTGTACACTCCGACTAGCCTGGCTGGCCCGACTGGCCCGACTGGCTCGACTAGGTGTGGTCCGTGGTTCATCCTCTTCAAGAACATCGCTGAGGCGCGTGGGATGGCGATGACGAGGAGTCATCGATTCCCAACCCGCTCCGACACCCCAACCGGAACCGGTGTAATCGACAGTGGTTGGTGTGTATAGAGGCGCCGATGATGCTGGGAGGGAGCTCGATGCATAGCTCTCCTCGTGAGGTCCATGCTCGTACTCCTCGCTCTCTTCGGACATGGCAGGAGGATACTCGATCGGACGGCCTTGAGCGCGACGATAGCTGCCATATTCTTCGTCTCCTTGCTCGCTGCTTGCAACACTAGGGTCGTACGAGCGATCATCATTCGCAGAAGCTGGTCGGCCTCCATACATATTTGATCCTTGCTGCGGATAGTAGTGGCTGGCGTACGGCTCCTGTGAGTCTGCTGCTGTGGTTGCAGGTTGGCGAGGAGCAAGATCCTTTCCTTCGGTGAATGGGTCGGTCTCAACTGGAGACACGGGCGCGTCGTCGTAGTACTGGCCCTCGGATTTCCCGAGATTTTCGCCGGTAGAGTATGGGCTTTCCCGAGCAGAAGTGCGGCTCATGGCGGTCTGTCGACTGGAAAGGCCTTGAATCATAGGAACAACTTGCACGCCTCCCACAAGCGTCGGCTCTCCGTTTCTGAGCGAATTGGTGCGGTCACGTTCTTCCTGCTCACGGCGGCCCAGTTCCTCCCAAGCTCGGCGAGCTTCTTCCTTGGAAATCTGCAGCTCCCGTCGCATTTCCCTGAGCAACTCCTCAGCGCGAGTCTTATCGATCTCGGCCTTTTGTAGAGAGGCGACGGCTTCGGCGCGGGCTTGCCGCTCGTTCTTGAGCTGCTTCTCGAGCTCGGCTTGTAGCTCCTTGGCTCTCTCCTGTTCCGCGCGCGTGTCGAAGAACCAGCGTTGGAATTTCCTTTCCGACGACGCACGCAAGCGCTGCAGTTCCACAACCGCATGGAAGAGGTTGGCACCAGCCGCGGAGAGATCGGTGACCTGACGGGCCATCTGCTGGCTGAGGGGGTCGCGCTCCAACGCTTCGTTGTTTTGCTCGAGCTTCCGAATCCAGTAGCTTGTCAGACCCTCCCAGTGCGAAGACAAGGTTTCCCACCGCTCAAAAGCATGAGGAAATCCGACCCGACGTGGTTGTTGCTGATTTTGTACAGTGTCCGGTTGGCTAGCCGGAGGTGCCTGTCCCTGTGGTTTGGCGAATGTACTGGGCGGAGCAGCAGCTTTCGCAGCAGCCGGTTGTTGAGCACCAGGAACTTGCTGGGTGGGAGGTACAGGTTGTCTGGGTATGTGGGAGTCGGCGCGGCGGGCCATTCCAGAAGTATTGGTTGTCATACCGGGCGCTGCGGTCGTTCTGGGAGCTGCACCCCGCTGTCCGGGCTTTTCACCGGCAACGCCAGCAGCGTAAGGCTGAGTCTGTTGTGCCTGTCTGGCTTGGTCCTCCTGATGCCTGCGCTCCGCTTCCTCCTGCTCCCGAGCCCTTGCCTCTTGTTCTGCCTTCTTCCGGGCCTCACGATCCCGACGCTGTCTCATTATATCGGTTGGTGTCCGAACACCGCTTGGGGGATGAGGGTTGACCGGAACTGGTCCTTGAGCGGTGCGCGTGGCGCCATTCTGAGTACGGCCGCTAACTGCAGGTCCGGACGAGACCGGGGCACCCGCAAGATCAGCCATCGACGCGTTCACTTCCTCCCAATCTGTGGTGAAAGGGAAGGGTTTGCGAATCGCTTCTTCGAGAGTCCAGAGGATCGCAGAGGCCGTTCGTGGAGAGACGCGGGCCGACCGACGAGGCCAAAAGGATTCGCCGGCTCGTCTGGAACGCTCTTCGTAGGCTTCAGAATCGTACTCTTCCGCGTCGTCAGTTCGTGCTTCCGAGATCGCAGGACGTAGAGTAGGGTTCTGGGCGCGGTCTTGGCCGGAGGCAGGTTGTACCAAGACAGGAATCGACTGCTCTATTTGGTGGTATCGTCCCGAAACATCTACTGAAGCAGCTCGTCGGTGATTGAGACGAGGTGTTCTGCGTAACGAACGGGGACTTCCCGAACCACTCGAGGGGCGGGCTAATGGATCTAGGAAAGAATCAAGCGCAGGATTAGGAGCAGCAGCCTGCTGCTGGCGTTGCCGTGGAACGGTCGTAAACTTTGATGGGTCGTGAACTTCGTAGGTCTCGTCAATTGGGCCGTGGGTGTGGTGATACACTGTTGAGGATTGCTGTAGGGGACGTGGAGAGGGATGCGATGACAACGTGAGGGTAGTGCGACTCGATTCTCAGCAAACACGAATTGCGAGTCTGAGCTCGCCGACGTCAGCGAGTGCAGGGCAGCTCAGTGGAGATTCCGCTTGTCGGAGGGCCTCTTTCTTCCAGCAAACACCTTGAACCCGCCTCTGAGTAGGAGATGGAGAGCGACTTCACCGAGGAAGAATGTGGATAAAAAATGGAGACAGGAATAAGCATTGGGTAAGAGAAGATAGCAGCATCCCAGAAAGAAGGAGCTAGGAGACACTGTGGCTGGTCAAATGGGGTGGTGCGTGGTGCGGTCTAAGTGGGAAATACAGCTCTCAGGATTAAATGGGATGGCTGGGAAAATAGAAGCTGCAGGAGGATGGAACAAGGAAACCCACGAACAACGCAAAGACGCACCTCAGAGCCCAGGTCAGCGCACTACCAGACCGCCACGACCAGCTGGAAATGGCTCGTAGGCGTCATGGAGTCGAGCGACAGAGCTCAATGGCTGCTGGAAGATTGTCCAAGTGCGTAGTAGAGAGCTGCACAGTTGTCCGAGAAGACACGATGACGGCGGCCGGGGGAAGAGGAAAAGTCGAGGGACTTTCCGAGGGCCAACAACCGCTGACTGGCGCCAACACTGATTCGATGAGAGATCAATTGGGCCAATTCACTCTTCCCTGGGTATTCTTTTTATGACTTAAAACTAAGGTGCATTTATAGGTAGGACGGCACATAGCCTTCTGCCTACTTTCTAGTCCACTTACATTTTTCACACTGACCTACGAAGTTCCGGGGAAGAACATCAAGGAAGCTCATCCACAAAGTAGTTCTTTGCAGGTTGTATATAAGATTTTGTACAAGGACAAGCAAAAGCAAAGGTGTTCTGATTCCGTCGAGTCCTCTTTGGATCCGATTGAGATACTGTGGTGGTGTAACAATCTGACTCGCACTTTGTGGATTTGCGACTTTGGTTTCCAGTCAATATCTAGCAGTCAATATCTAGCAAGTCGGTCCTAAGGTCAACCATCTGGGGAAGTTAAAAATCGAGAACAATGGGTCTGTGGAGGATCTATTTCCACCAACCTGGAAAGCAAGAAATCGCTAGTTGTCGCTATTCCTAATTCTCATGGTCGCTGGACAGCAGTCTCATACTAATTCTTGGTTCCCGCTCGCAAAGCGTCACTGCGTCAGTGCTGCATTGGCGATGCGTTGGCAATCTGTCAAAGGGACGAGATTGGCGGTCCTTTCTCATTGCCAGTTAATTCAAATCTTGATGACCGTCCCGATGACTTGATTTTTAATTTCAGTGTGCTCGAGTATTGATACTCTCATGGCAATAGAAGCCAGCAGCAGCAGCAAGGTGTCGCTCCCTAGATTCAATAATTGCGTCCATGGCACCCAGATCAGTCCCTCCTTGGTCTAACTTATTGCTGGAAACGAACCCTTGATCGTTGGTCTTTGGTTGTAACCGATTCCAATGGTCTGGATCTGCTTAGACGGTTGGCCACTCGAAATCTTGGGCTCTGAATATACAGAGTACCCGGCAATCCATCGACGATCATCAATATTCCAGGGTCTCACGAGGCGGCTGTCTGGAGATAATCAAACTCTGCATCAGTCGTCACATAGGGACGATCTCTCTGATGGACTTGCAGACGATTCTCAATGACCGTCAGAGACAAAAGAAATGAAAAATATGCACGGCTCACTGCCTCCAACATCTCTATGGTGATGGCACTGCAACACAGGAAACTCCATCCATAGTCTGAAGATGCAAATAAGGATCTTCGAGATATATACCAGATGAGCCGAAGAAATCCAGCAAGGGCGACCGTACGAATCGGGGAATATCAAGCCTTCGAGTTCTGGAACCCAACCCATCCGCGGTCTCAGAATTATCGACTCATCCTTACTGGTATACTTGACTTATGACTGCGATTTCTAATGGTGTACCTGCGCCTCGGCACTTACGCATATCATATGGCTCTGTGGAAACTGTGCCTCATTGATTCCACGGGCTCTGCGTCATTCCTCTCACATCGATCGATGCATGGATCACTGGCACCATGTAGCAATTCATTTCGGAATTTTGATCAGGCAGATTGGTGAATCCCGAGGGGACTGAGTCCAGGCCTGGTGGAACATCTAGATTATCGCAAAATGTGATATGGATCAACAATATCCTACCCCTCGGCTTCCAGGGCTTCGGGTTCCTGGAAATCAATGAGAGTGGAAATGACATGGCAAAAGGACCATGTCCGAATTGAACCTATCAACGAGTGATGCTTGAACACTCTCGAAGTTTGCGGAAGATTCAATTCCCGTAAAGGAGGGAAAAGACCGAAGTAGAAGAGATCAAACCCGGGCAGATACGTGAATTACACGATCCACATATTACCAAGATGCAGCTCTGCATAAAACCAGGATGTTTCAGCGTTACATTCATAGATACTAGATCAAAGTACGCAGCACAGCCATAGAATAAAGTACTTGGTATTTCTTTTCATGACTGCTGGGCTCGAGAGTTGAGGCCCAGATACCAGGAACCATTTCCCTGCGCCACCGGAATGCAGGTTATGCGACCTTGTTGCTTCCCCGACGCCCTCTCCTAATCTTGTCTTCTTTCCATCCACCCATCCCTCGTACTTTCGCAGGATTATCGAATTCTTCATTATTCCTGAGTTGCTCAGTTATTCCGTACCTTTTTGCTTCCCATGATGTCATTTGTCCATTAAACAGTGTTTCATTTCCCCGTTCAGTATGCATCACAGAGTCCCCGTTGCAAATCATTCGGGCTATTGTTCATCACTGCAGAAGATCGAGATGGACGATACCACGAGCATATTGAGTTATCAACTCCATGCATCTGACAGCTTCCTAGAGATGGACTGAATCGGAGATTATCACTAGTTAAACAGCTCGGTCTTAACGGTGGGATAGCAGGAGGGTGGTGCTTTTACCTACGCGAGAGTTTCAAGTCTCAACACCAGTCATAAAGACAAGATCCTTGACTCGATCGACCTTCCATCTCTAACCACTATCATCTTCTTCTCCTCCTGCATCACGCCGCAATAGAAGGAAATTTTACTGGTCATCGGAATCGTACTTTCCAACCACGTCCAAACCAGCAACGTTAGGAAGCCTGCGTCATCTCCAACAGAGCTCCCTCCCCTACATCATTATTTCAATACGAGTCTATCATACACGTATCTACGGAAAAGTGCGGCCATGCAGCAGAAAATCTGCTTAGGCTGATCGACATAAGACGCAGATTCAACCATCCGGGAACCCGGAATGCTGGACTACAGGCTGATTGCCTGGTGTACAGAATAACAGACTTCCGGTTGAACAATTGAGCAATTAAGACTTTAATAGACCATGCGCGGTCAAATGCTGGGGATGACTGAGACTTACTGGCCGACCCGATCAGGGCACTGTCTGACTCTCCCTTCGAGCCCTATCTTGGCAAATGTGGCGTCAAAAACCATATTGACTTAATGACTGTGCTTCCTGAAGAGTCTTGGTGGGGAGAGATCGACACGATCGGCCACCATTGCAGCGAGCGGAACTCGGGCCAAGGTTTAGCGGCTATGCCCCAGCGCTACTCATCCTGAATCTGATATCTCACATTCTCTTTGTCTAGTACCAAGGCAAAATCATCCTAGAGGATTCGAAACACTCCAGCCTCCGGCTAGAATTTCTTGCCCTTTTACCGATCATCTGTCAACACTTACCAGGTCGTCGCTACTTGTTCTATGCCAGTTTTCCATCGTATCAGATGCACTCAATTATTGTGCGCATGATGTCAATAGAATGTCTACATCCGCTGCTCGACGGGTTTGCTCTTCTGCAGACATGGCATGGTGCATTCGCATACCCAGTGACAGCATTCAGTAGGACCTCATACAAGCACAAAATCAAGCGTGCTTGTACATGACGCCTATGCCTGTATCTGGCGAAAGGCGCTCGAATGTCTTAATGTGTGCCCCAACAACCAAATTGGGTATCAAGTTCAAGCAATTTCGATAACACTGTATGATTATTCCGTGCATTGGCACTTCTACGAGCCATGAGTAAAGTCTGACTTGCATTGCCCCGCAACCTTCTGCCCTACGGATCGGGTTCCGGTAGCTCCCTTGCTCCAGGCTGGGTGGCCGTTTCGCCTTGCAGCGCCTCTTATCCCTGTGGAAGGGAACCGGGCCATGTAAGGTCTGATAGGTGGTTAAAGCCCGTGCGCTCTGATCATTGAGCTTTGTTTATCATGCTCCGTTGGCATGCGCTGACGCTTTTTGGACTCCTCCCCGGCCTAGCCACCAATTCACTGGTAGTCTGGTACTGGAACTTGGAGGGGAGCCATTAAAAGTTATTTTTGGGGAGGCATGTAGTATAAACATAACCCCTTCACCCCCTTCCAGTCTCTGAGATATTGCAGACACTCTCTTAATGTCTCTTTGCTGTTATCGACTTCAACGCTAGATGCTCACCATCAGTCAAGCATTCTCGATGATACCCGCCTATCGCTGAGAACATAGTGTCGCATCTGTTGTAACTCTTACAACCATAGCCCATGGCTGGCACATATACTTTCCTTCCCGGCGACCTCAACGCTTCACTGAAAGCCCGGAATAGACCCTACACTGGACTCCGCTTGCCCTCATCGTCTCCTGCTAAGAAACGGGCCTCGTCCTTCTATCCTGAGCACGGCCCAGAGATTGTGGACGAGACCAACCCGGATCCATTCTATCTCGAACACTCCCTGGGTAGGTCAGGTGCTTGGGGCCGTAGCAGACGGGACATTCGCGATGTCCGATTCTGCGAGGAGTCCAATCAATATTTCATGTTATCCTCCGTGAATCACAGCCAGAAGGAACCGACGTTTCCCAAATCTGTAAGAGGCGAATCAAAGCGGACTCCTCGTCCCAGTCAACCTGATCGATCGACACTTACCGTCCTTGGATTCGAGCATCAATACTCTATTCCACCACAAGTTGCAGTTCCACGTTGGGAAAAGCACCCCCTGCACGAGAGCCAGGGCTCTTTCAGCTCCGAACAGACTGACGCAACTCCCGACTTGACTCCGAGCAGCTCGTTCTCGTCAAACTACTCCTCCCCAATCTACCCCGACAGTGGCCTGCAGGGCTCCGAGTACCCTGTTCTGCCAGTCCAGTTGCCAGCCCAGAGTACATATTCAAAGTCCCTGGAAAGGTTCCACCAAGCTTCCGCTAAGCAACCAGTCGGTCTACGACCAGCTTCGTCCAACCGTCCGTCAACGCCTGCGCGGACTACTGAATTCACAAGTTCCGCGGAAACTTTGAGAATGCCTCGAACAGAGGACCAGGACCTCTCAGCCCGACGCGGGAAACCGCTTCCCTCTCTTCCTATCAATCCCCGTCACGGCAGTAGTGTGCCCAGCAAGAGGAGCACCAATTCCGGCCGTCGACCTTCAATTGAACCCTCGATGATTTCCCCTCCCAGTCTCA